CAGTATCTGGCACATGTCATTGTGCTTCCATCAAAATTTTAGGTACATTGCAGTGCCTCTGTGAGTTTTCTCTAGTGCCTCAGGGTAACTCAGCGCAGTTTTGGATTTGCAGTCATCAAGTTTTAAAGATGAAATGAGGCGATGCATGTCAAGGACTTAGCGTGCTGCCTGGTCTGGAGTAGGAGATCAATAATCTCCTGGTTATCCTAAATCATCCTTCAAGTCTTATTCTGAGACCACTTTCACTCTAGCTCTTCCTGTGTCTCCTCTAACTCCACAATGACATCAGTCCGATACTGTGCCAACAATACTACCTGCCTCCCACTCTTGCCACCTTATGATCTCCACTTGCCACCTTCCCCCCGACCACCTCCAGGCCTGTGGCCCCACTTCTTCATGCCTCCCTAAATCCACACACTTGCCAGGATCTCTGTGTAGTGGAGCATACATCTCTGCCTCTTAGCTTTAGGCTTGGCCATGTGACTAACTTTGCCCAGTGGTACATGGCAAAAGCAACAGTGTGACAGTTCTGAGCCTAAGCCTGAGGAGGCGTCCCATGGTTCCACTTACTCTCTTCTCCTTTGCCAAGAGAATGTGGCCCAGCAGCCTTGTGATTCCAGGAGGAGGACAAGAGATCTGTGGAGCAGACTCAGAGCTGCACATCTGGAAACCATGAGCAAGAAGAAATGATTGTTGTTTGAAAGTACGGAGTTTTAGAGAGGTTTGGTACACAGTGTTCTTATAATAATCCAACCTCTCAATCTGTGGCAAATTCAACATGTCTGAGAGAAGATCTGATTGAATCATTTGGTCACCACTCAAAACGTAGCTCCTCAAAAACCAGTCACCCATGAGCCAATGATCTCTCTTCTGTCCAGTCTGTAGATGCTGCTTTGGGCTGGGGCACTCATCTCTTCTCCAGGCAGTTGTCCCATGACTACAGGGCATGTGACATAAAGCTTGGTGGCCTGTTTGGAGGAATCATCTCTGGCTTCTTGTGTTCAAAAGGGGCGTGAATATGGCAGGCAGGAATTTCTCCGATTCTCTTGGGTTCTGAAAAGTGATAGCTGAACTAAGAGGAATTGCACATTAAATTTCTTCTGAATGTGGTAGTCAGAATGTATCTCAAGCTGTAAACACCAGGAGATAACAAATGTGATGTTTCTTACAACTTGATTTAGTAACTATTTTGAGCCTCATTATGCCTAAGAGGGAAAGGATGAGGCCCAGGTTCACACAGACAGTTTGTCAGGGCTGGAGTTAGAACCCAGAAGTCCTGGCTCCTTATACAGTATCCCTTTTCCTGCCCAGTCAGTCTTATACTTGGAAGGAGCCCCAGGTCCCATCTCTAAGCCAGTGGAGCCCCTATTCCAGTCTCTCCGATCATCTGGGCTATGCTTCTGCACTGCATTGACCAAGCGCCCACTGCTTGGAAGAATTCTAAACAACATCTTCCTCCTACTGAGTCCCAACCTGCTTCCCTTTGTCCTATACCCACTGCTATGGTGATACAGGTGAATCCCAAAATTGGGGCTCAGTCAGGGAGGGTTCTAGGCTTCATGCAGGAAAGAATTTAAGAGTGAGCCAACAGAGAAAAGTGAAAGCAAAGCAAGTTTATTAGAGCAACAGAGTACAGGAAAATGGCTGCTCCATAGACATAGCAGGGCGACCCCATAGGCACAGCAGCATTCATGGATTGCTGGCTGACTATACGGATAGCTGCTTTTTCATTATTTGCTAAATAAAGGGTGGATTATTCACAAACTTTCTAGAAAAGGTGTGGGATGTCCCCCAAACTGGGGGTTCCTCCCCTTTTAAATCATATAAGGTAACTTTCAGGCATTGCCATGGCATTTGTAAACTGTCATGGCACAGGTGGGAGAGTCTGTTAGCATGCTAATCAATTAGAATTAATATTCCATGAGGAATGAGGGCAACTAGAGGTTTGCTTTCATTGCCGTCTTGATTTTAGTTGGTTTTGGCCTTTTACTTCACAGCCTCCTGTTTGAACAGATCCTGCTTTGATCAGTGGAGTTATGCCTGGGATTGTAACCAGTGTCAGAGAACAAGTCCTGCTGAGCTCCTGTCTCACTAGCTTTGTCTTCCGGTGCTGCAATAAATATATGCTCTTTTCTCTTTAATTTATAAACATTTACTGTAATTTTAAGTTCTAAAGATTCTATTGCATTCTTTTTCAAATCTGCCTTTTAAAAAATGTCTCTTTTGGCTGGGCATGGTGGCTCATATCTGTAATCCCAGCCATTTGGGAGGCTGAGGTGGGTGAATCACTTGAGGTCAGGAGTTTGAGATCAGCCTAGCCAACATGGTGAAACCCCATCTCTACTAAAAATACAAAAATTAGTTGGGTGTGGTAGTGGGTAGCTGTAATCCCAGCTACTTGGGAGGCTGAGGCAGAAGAATTGCTTGAACCTGGGAGGCAGAGGTTGCAGTGAGGCAAGGTTGCACCATTGCACTCAAGCCTGGGTGGCAAGAGTGAAACTCCAACTCAAAAAAAAAAAAAAAAGGAAAAAGAAAGAGTCTCTTTTTTTGTATGATTTTGATTCCTTCTTGTAGCCTCTTATTCTTCTCAAAATACTTTTCTTTTGAGAGAGGGTGGAGTACAGTGGGGCAATCAAAGCTCACTACAAGCCTTGACCTCTTGGGCTCAAGCAATCCTCCTGCCTCAGTCTCCTGAGAAGCTGGTGAATACAGGCACATGACATCACACCTGGCTAATTATTTTATTTTTTTGTAGATATGGGGTCTTGTGATGTTGCCCAGGCTTTTCTCAAACTCAAGTGATCCTCTTGCATTGGCCTCTCAAAGTGTTCAGATTATAGGTGTCAGCCACCATATCTGGCCTCAAAATACTTCTAATTATCGTCATCTGAAGCTCTTGAGGGAAGGGAGTGAATGGTGTCTCTCACCATTGAATCTCATTTATGGTGAATGGCTTCCTTGTGTGTTTTGTCTTTTGGATTATGAGTTCATCTTCGGGGGAGCTCTATCTGAGGATATTTTGTGTAGCCAGATTGAGAGTAGGTCGCCCTAAAGTTGGCTAAGTTTGTTTTGCCAGTCATTTCACATTTTTATCTGGGGTCACTATGATAATTCTTGGTTTGGAGTTTCTAGTTCATATGAATAAGATAAATGTGCACATATATATTATATATATAAATATATATATATATATATTTGAGAGAAAGTTTTGCTCTGTCGCCCAGGTTGGAATCCAGTGGCATAATCTCAGCTCACCACAACCTCTGCCTCCTAAGTTCAAGCAATTCTCCTGTCTCAGCCTCCCTGAGTAGCTGGGATTACAGGCACCCGCCACCACACTCAGCTAATTTTTGTATTTTTAGAGTAAAGATGGGGTTTCATCATGTTGGCCAGGCTGGTCTTGAACTCCTGGCCTCAGGCGATCTGCCCACCTTGGCCTCTCAAAATGCTAGGATTACAGGAGTGAGCCACCAAGCCTGGCAAATAAATTTATATTTTAAAAGACCTATGTGAGAATACATTCTACTTATTTTCTTCACAGCATTAATTTGACTGATGGTTTCCAACGACTGCTAGGATGTCAGCTCCAGGAAAGCAGGGCCTATGTTTCTCTGATTTTGGTTGATTACCCCAGTGTCTAAACCAGAACTTGGCACACAGTAGACATACAATAAAGTGTTTGGTGAAAGAGAGAATTGAAAACCTGCTTATAGTGTGATGGTGTCAGAGGCATTTAAATGAGAGAAACCCCATCTTAAGTAGCAGTTAGGTAAAATGAGGCTGAGACCTACTGGGCTGCATTTCCAGAGAGTTAAGGCATTCTAAGTCACAGGATGAGACAGGAGGTCAGCACAGGATACAGGTCATACAGATCTTGCTGATAAAACATTTGCAGTAAAGTAGCCAGCTAAATCCCACCAAAACCAAGGCGGTCACAAGACTGGCCTCTGGTTGTCCTAACGGCTACACTCCCATCAGCACCATGACCGTTTACAGATGCCATGGCAACATCAGGAAGCTACCTTATATGGTCTAAAAAGGGAAGACATGAATAATCAACCCTTGTTTGGCATGTTATCAAGAAATACCCATAAAAATAGGCAACCAGTAGCCTTCAAGGCTGCTCTGTCTGTGGAGTAGCCATTCTTTTATTCCTTACTTTCCTAATAAACTTGCTCTCACTTTACCGTACAGACTGCCCCTGAATTCTTTATTGCATGAAACCTAAGAAAGTCGGGACCACTTTCCTGTAACAACGGGAAGAATAAATGGTGTGTCTGGACTGTTTGCCTGCAAGTAGCAGAGTGTCCCTTAGAAACAGGGTCTGTTGTCTCCTGCAGACGCTGTTGCTGATTCAGGGGTGCAATGATTTCTAGCGGCTCCGTGATTGCCCTTTGTCTGATGGTTGCAAGACGGTTACTGTAGCTCCAGATAACACCTCCATATTTAAAGACAGAAGGAAAAGGGAGAAAGTAGGAGTAAAGGGGAAGCAGCAGTGACATTTTCCCTTTTGTTAGGAAGGTAAAAGTTTTTCTGGAAGCCTAACAGCAAATGGCTGCTTTGATCTCCTTTGCTGGAAATGGGTCTCATGGGGATTCCAGAAAGAAGGGAACTTGGAAAGTGAGCATTTCCCTTTATCTAGATGCTATAGATAAGTAAATGAGGAAGGCGACCGGGAACACAGATGGAGGTATATGCCAAATGAGACATATACATACTTTATATGTAAAGCACAGAGCGAGCCCTTAGAAAAGAATGCCTATTTTCATAATAACTATTATCGTTGCCATTTAAAGCTTTGCAGTCTTTGTGGTCCTGTTGGCATCACATATTCTTAGCTTCTAGAACCAGCAGGCACCAAGGTATTCAGACCCCTAATGGTCTCCCTCCCTTCCTCCTTGTACTGTTCAGAGCGCTAAAGCCCTTTAAAAAAAAAAAAAGTCAAATTACATTTTTCAATGTGAGCTACTTCCTGCTCTCATTAACTCCGTCTTCAATGATTTGGCCAGGACCTGCTGCCAGTCTGAAGGAGGCAGGGGAATGTACAAGTCAAAGACCCCTCAGGCCCAGAACCAGGTCAGTGCCAAGGTTACTCCCAAGGACACTGAGATGAAAACAGCAGAAGAGCCAACCCCGAGCCTTGGGCAGACCCTGGAGTGGCTGAGAAAGGAGCTGGTAAGGTTTTGCATTTCTTTTCCTTGATGCCCCTACCACATATTTTCCAAGGGTCTCAGATTTTCTCTCCCAGTTCCCCCCTGGGGCAGAGGCTGCCTGCTACAGTATGGACCCTGCAGTCTCCACTCTGAGACCTGCCACACAATGCACAATTGTGATCTCAGGTGCGGGCATAAGTAGGTCGTGACCTACATAGGAGGCGCTGGGTATGGTGCTGGCCAGACTGGTTTTAGAATGACACTGAGTCCTGGGTGTGTACCCAGCTTTGCCACTGTGAGGCCTCTAGCGGGGGCTTTACCTCTTTGAGCCTCAGTTTCCTTATCACAAAATGGGAATAACAATAGTATGAGTATCGTATGGGGTATTGTAAGAATTCACTGAAGATATGCTTGCAATCCTCTTAATGAATACTTGGCACATTGATGCTGACCCAGATGGACATGAGTACACCCCCTGTCTTAGCCTGGGTCTTCTAGAAAGCAGGGTCTTGGGCAAGGATTGAGAAACTAGCCCTTTATTTGGAGGTGCAAGCCCAGAGTCGTGATAGGGAGGGAAGTATGTGTGGCAGTAGAGGCCAATGCTGTGCCAGGCAATTACACCAGACATTGTATTACCAAGCTGCCTATGGCTTCAGAAGGGGCCTTAAGGAGGCCCAGTGGGTGTCTCAACAGCTGAGATCTCTGCAGGGGTTGAAGGAGGAACTGCACATTGTGGGAGAGAGAATGAGAGGAAATGCATCTGCCTTGCTGGGTCCTGTCTCTCATTTCCCATTGGCAAGGGCCTCCCCAAGGGAGCACTAACTCTCCTGAATTTATGTTATGTGACTTAGTCCCGTGGTTGCTGCTCAGGAAGCCAAGCTTATGCCTTTCATTATGATATTTTCTCCAAGTTCGAAAAAAGAGAGGTGCCCCCAGGTATGTGGGGACACCAGCCAGGAGAGAGGAGGCAGTTTAGGGAACCTCAGAAAAAGTTTGTTTCTCAATACATCCACTTCTCATTCTGGGGAGAGACAGACAGGATTGTCTGAAAATGGCCTTTCTGAGCTGCCCGGCAACAGGGCAGCTGGGACCCAACCCTGTCTTCATCTCAGAGGAAGGGCTGACCCAGGAGGGCTTCTCATGGGACCAGGGGACTCCAGCAGCAGGGGCCACAGCTTCCCACAGTCAGCAGGCATCCAGCACCCGGCAGCTGCTTTCCTTGCACACCCTGAAACTGTGGGTGCCTGGGTGGCTCAACATCACCTCTGTGCTGGGCACCCCACTGTGGTCTTACAGGCACATATCCAGAAATGATGCTGAAGGTTGGACAAAAAAATGTGCAGGAGGAAAACCCTAAAATCAAGAAAACACAGAGTGAATGTTTTCTGAGGAATTAGGAAAAAATGGGTCCAGGACCGCTCACTCTGCAGCCTGAGCTGTCCCAGTGTTCTGAGGGAGGCCATCTACACCTCTGCTTCACGGCTCTCTTTTTTCTTTTTTTGTCGGGGATTGTCGGGGGAGGAGTCACACTCTGTCGCGCAGGCTGGAGTGCAGTGGCACGATCTCGCCTCACTATCACCTTCGCCTTCTGGTTTCAAGTGATTCCCCTGCCTCGGCCTCCAGAGTAGCTGGGATTACAGGCTCACACCACCACAGCTGGTGAATTTTTTTGTATTTTTAGTAGAGACCGGGGTTTCACCATGTTGGCCGGGCTGGTCTCGAACTCCTGACCTCAGGCAATCTGCCCACCTCGGCCTCACAAAGTGCTGGGATTACAGGTGTGAGCCACCGCGCTCAGCCTCATACCTCTCTTTCTAGCTACCTATTCTCTTGGCAGTGTTGCTCATGCTTGAGTAGAGGATGCAGACTTGGTTTTCTCAATTGTAATCAGCTTGTCACAAAATGAAAACACCATTTTTAATGGGGAAATAATGTTCATAAGTATCTCCTGCAAAGACAGACAGAGAAAGAGAGAGGCTGAGAATATGCAAATCCAACCATGTGTTGCCCCGACCAGCTTCAGAAGGGCAAACAGAAGCATTCGCAGTGGCTGTCTCTGGGGAAGGATGCTTGAGTTGAGGGATACAGTGAGGTGGGATGGGAGAGACTTTAAAATATATGCCCTTTAGTAGCTTTTAAATTTTCTATCATGTGTTAAGAATTACCTAGTCAGAAAATAGAATTTTAACATTTTTAAGAGAAAGCAAATTTTGGAGCTGAAGTGGGAGGATCATGTGAGCCCAGGAGTCTGAGACCAGCCTGGGAAACATGGCAAAACCCTGTCTCTACAAAAAATACAAAAATTGGCCAGGCACGGTGGCATGCACCTATAGTCCCAGCTACTCAGGAGGCTGAGGTGGGAGGATCAGTTGAGCCCAGAGCTTGCATTGCACCACTGCATTCCAGCCTGGGTAACCGAGTGAGACTCTGCCTCAAAAATAAATAAACAAATAAACAGAAATAAAAAGAGAGAAAATGTATGGGGAAAAAATTCCTACTGAAAAATGGGAGAAGAAAAACAGCTGAAGATGATAGTATAGTTCTAGTGGAGCAGTTCTCAAACTTTTGGATCTTAGGACCCATTTATGCTAAAAAAATTATTCAGGCCACCAAAAAGCTTTTGTTTATGTGAGTTATATCTATCAATACTGACTGAATTAGAAACCAGAGCTGAGACATTTTTAGTATACTTACTAATGCATTCTAAAATAACAAACTCATATGTTAATAAAACATTACTTATTCAAAATAATTATATTTTTCAAAGCAAATATTTAGTGAGAAGAGTAGCCCCATTTTACATTGTTCCAAATTGCTTTAATGTCTGTCTTAATAGAACACAGCTGGATTCTCATAGCTGCTCCTGAATTCAATCTGTTGAGATATTACATGTCATTAGCTTCCAGAAAACTTCACGGTATGCTCATAGGAAAATTAAAGCAAAGAAAAAGAAAAAGGAAAATAATATCTTAGTATTGTAATAAAAGTAGTTTAGACTTCACTGACCCCTTGAAAGGGTTTTCCCTTGGGCGAATTCATTCAGTCCTCATGAAAGCCTTGAAAAGTAAGCAATTTGCTTTCTGTTAGCAGAGCAAGAAACTGAGGCATTGGTGGATACGGCTTCCATGAGGTTGTGCGACTCACAAGTGGGTTTGTCTCTCATGAGACAGCGAGGAAAGGGGCTTGATGGGGAAACACCCAGGGCTCCATGCATCCCTTCACGGGCTTCTTCTCTCTCCTAGTCTGAGATGCAGATTCAAGACCAGAGGCTCCTGCTCACACTGAGGCATCTTCACAGTGTCCTGGAGGAGCTTCGTGCTGACAGTGCCCACTGGGAGGACGCCAGGTCCAGCGGAGGGACATCCCCCATCAGAGCTCGAGCAGGCTCTGAAGGCAGGGGCTGCCAGCCTGTTTACTCAAGGGGTCTGGCCCAGCTCCTCCGAGGGGAAGACAGCAGACGAAGCTCTCTCCCTTAACCAGACACGGATGACTCTGGGCTTTAACCCTCTCACCCATTAGTCTAACCTTTCACTGTGGTGTTTTAGGGGCAGAGCGTTGGAATGGGATTCAGGAAGCCAGGGCTATGGGTTCACTTCTGCCCTCATCTGCTGTGCATCCCTGGATCTGTCACTCAGCTTCTCTGTATCTCTGGTTCCTTTTCTGTCACTTGGGATTTCTTTGTGAGGCACGCATGGGGTACTGGATGAACACACTCTGACTGAAAACATAAACATGCTATAGTGCTCTGACAAGCACCATTGCAGTAATCCTATCCTTGGGAATTTCTCACAAGGCAATTGTTGAAACAAAAAACTATATGTGCAGTAATGGTAACCAAGTGTTGCCAGGGTGAAAATTCCAAACCCTGTGTAGTGACTTAGTGGCTGTTTTCTGTCTTCCCAGGAAGCCTTCCCAGCTCCCTTCATCTGATTATATATTAGGCCCTGTAACCACCCTGGCCATAGGGATGGGTATATTACCAGGCCTGGCCAATGATGTAATTCATGGTTGCCCTAAAAAGATGATTAGCCCAATGGGTGAGCATGTGAACCAACAGACCCAATCACTGATCTTCCCTGGGTGAGCATGTGAACCAACAGAGCCAATCACCGATCTTCCCTGGGTGGGCATGTGAACCAACAGAGCCAATCACCGATCTTCCCTGGGTGGGCATGTGAACCAACAGACCCAATCACCGATCTTCCCTGGGTGAGCATGTGAACCAACAGACCCAATCACCGATCTTCCCTGGGTGAGCATGTGAACCAACAGACCCAATCACCGATCTTCCCTGGGTGGGCATGTGAACCAACAGAGCCAATCACCGATCTTCCCTGGGTGGGCATGTGAACCAACAGACCCAATCACCGATCTTCCCTGGGTGAGCCTGTGAACCCAACAGACCCAATCACCGATCTTCCCTGGGTGGGCATGTGAACCAACAGAGGCAATCACTGACCTTCCCTGAGATTGCTAGCTGAATGCTCTTTTTATTACACTTACAAGGCTGAGGCTGCTGGCGAAGATTTTCCTACCAGGTAAAGAAGACCTGTTTGCAGTAGGAAAGGAGGCTAATCTTCAAAGAGAAGTAGAGAGAGGGCCACACAACAGATGGACAGAGAGGAAGAGCGCTGGCCCTTTTTAGTCCCTGGTTTTAGGCTCTAATTTTGTGAGTTACCCCCGTCAATTTCACACCCCCCCCACCCTGACCCATAGCCACTTACATCAATTTGGTTTTGGTTAAGCTGATTTGAGCAGAATTTCACACATTTGCAGCTAGAATGGTCCTGAGGAATCCTATCCAGTTGTTCAAAGAATCAAAGAGGATAAATCAACAAGAAGATGGCATTTCCTTCAATGAGGGCTTGTGACAACAACCTCCATAACAGCAGGCAGTGATGCTTGTGATACAGCAGAGACACTCAGTTGTGTGGGGTGCTACAGTCATAACTGAAAAATTACATCTGCCTGTAAGAAAGACGAAAACAGAAAAGGTGAAAATAAAAAGTCACGGTGTTAAGATGGTCTGATGATTGGTAGGTGTTTTTGTTTTTGAAAATCTACCTGTATGTTGTTAGAACATTGTTTTTAAGGCTTTGAAAAAGTAAATCAAGCCAGGAGCAGGGGGCTCACACCTGTAATCCCAGCACTTTGGAAGGCCAAGGCGAGCAATCACCTGAGGTCAGGAGTTTGAGAGCACCCTGACCAACCTGGAGAAACCTCATCTCTACTAAAAATACAAAATTAGCCAGACATGTTGGCACATGCCTGTAATCAATCTCAGCTATTCAGGAGGCTGAGGCAGGAGAATCCCTTGAACCTGGGAGGCAGAGGTTGCAGTAAGCCAAGATGGTGCCATTGCACTCTAGCCCGGAACAAGTGTGAAAACTTAGTTTCAAGAAAAGGAAAAAGAAAAAGTAAATTGATTGCATGTAGAGGCAGAGTGGAGTGGGTGCATTATAAGGATAATGTTTGCCATCAGATCAACCTGCGGTTTTTATATTTGATAATATAAATGATACCTGCTCTGTGATGCTGGGGCCGGGTCCCTGCAAACCACATTTTGGTGTTATTAGCTGCTTTCTGTTCGAGTTTGGACTTTGCCAATATACAGGGTAGAGTTAGACTACAATCTAAAGGAGTGAAAAGGGACTTGCTGCTGCTTCTTTTTTCCCTGTGGGCTCCCTGTTCCTATGAGCATCTCCCAGCAATATTTCTTCACTAAAGGCAGCAATTCCTTCATGAGGCACCAGACTTCTCCAGGATCCAGGTTCCAGACCCCTGGGACCCCTTTCAGAAGCTCAGAGACAACAGCTCCAGATGCCAGCCCCTCCTCCCCTGAAGTCTGCTTTACCTACCTGGCCCTTTCCTGAGCTCAGCGACACCAGCCCCAGCTGAGCTGAGTTCCTTTCTCAGATATCTGAATTTAAGCTCCAGGGAATTCCTCTTCTAAGTTTTAAAGTTTTGATAGTTTCTACCTCTTTTCTTTGTTCCCTCAACCCTGGAGGTGGCAAATGCTTCTTCCAATTGCTACCTTCAAGTTTTTTTTATAACCTTTCAGTCACCCAGTTAATAACGTTATACCTAGTTAACAATTCTTTATATTAAATTTTCTGTATTAAAATAACTGGTGTGTTTTCTGTCTCCTACCTGTCCCAGACTGACATAGCTTTTTGCTATGATTACTAATTGCCACTGTAACCATTCTTTCCACAGGAAAGGCTAATGAATGGCACCTTATTATTGCTGTGTGATAATATTCTGATTTGTGAAACCAGTGTCCATTGGCTATTATAAATGGACAAGCTGATTAGCCACTCCCAGCTTGAGAGACATCTGCCTGGCCATGCAAAGTAGAAATGACATTGGTCTCCCATGCCCACTGCTAACCACTAGCACCCTCTGTCTCTCCCTGCTTTACACATTTGGGCCCAAAGACCAAAAATCCCTGCCAACCTCTCCATCTCCAATCTGGGAAGATAGACCTAGAGCCCCAGAACCTGCCCTTTTGGTGGGATATTTGTTGTTCTCCAAGACCCTACATTCAGAACGGATATTCACTTCCTGATCCCAGGTCAGAGGAAGCCCAGATGGAGCCCAGATGCTGGACAAGGAGTTGTGATGGAAATGACATCTTCAGCACGGGTCCTAGAGGGCCGGGTTGGAAATGATGGCCATGCAGGACAGTGAGCACCAGAGGGAGCAGGTGGATCGTGGTCTCAGAAAGGAAAATCCAGGGTTTTCTCTGCTAAGGCAGCAAAAACAGAACTGCACACCTAAGCCTGGTGTCCAGGATGAGGAGGGGAGCTGACAGAGATGGAAAAACAATTAATGTGGTTGGAAGCTAAAACTTTAGGAGCAAGAAGAACAGTTCAAGATGTGAAACCATGCCAGGCATGGTGGATCATGCCTGTGATCCCAGCACTTTGGGAGGCCGAGGCAGGTGGATCACAAGGTCAGGAGATCAAGGCCATCCTGGCTAACATGGTGAAACCCTGTCTTTTCTAAAACCACAAAAAATTAGCTGGGTGTGATGGCACATGCCTGTAATCCCAGCTACTTGGGAGGGTAAGGCAGGAGAATCGCTTGAACCCAGAAGGCGGAGGTTGCAGTGAGCCAAGATTGCGCCACTACACTCCAGCCTAGACAACAGAGCAAGACTCCGTCTAAAAAAAAAAAAAAAAAAAAAAAAAAAGATGTGAAACCTAGCGTGGGTCACGGCAGGCAAGGCAGGGCTTACTTACATTGTGACTGATTAGAAATGATGAGCGTCTCCCCTTTACATGAGAGCCAGCTTCCAGTCCTGGGTCAGCTGTGACACCTTACAGAGCCTATGTGTTGTGGTATATGTTAGGGTGGAACAAACTGCCTCCAAACTTGAACACAGCAATCCCTTTATTATTGCAACAGCCATGTTGTAAATTATGTTTCCCATAGTTCAGGGCTCAGCTAAGAGGTTCTTGGCTTTGGGTCTCTCAAATGATTGCAGTCAGGTGGTGGCTGCCGCGTGATTCATCTTGAGGACTTACTTGCTTATGTCTGGCAGTTGATGCTGGCTTTAGCTGAGGCTGTTGGCTAGAACATCTATACATGACCCTCCAGGTGGCCAGGCTTCCTCATAGCATGTGACAAGGGTTGGGCTTTACTTTCTGGTCTTCTTTCTGTATCTTTTCGGGTCCACTCCCACTGCTAGAGTGGACCTAGAATTTACTCTCCTGCTATTTTAAGTTTATAGAGAGGGAATCTGATTCGTCAGCTTAACTTTTGACACCTGGACATATCATAGGTTATAGGCATAAAGTAGATTTATTTTTGTCTTCCACCTCTCTTCCTTCCTCCTCCTTTTTCCACCTCTTCTCATTCTTTCTCCTCCTCTTCATCATCATACATAGGTAATTAAAAAGGAAGACTTTGACATCAGGCTGCCTGAGACTGACTACCATATCTGCATCTTATTAGCTCTCTAACCTTGGGCATATAATATAACTTTTCTTTTTTTTGAGATGGAGTTTTGCTCTTGTTACCCAGGCTGGAGTGCAATGGCGTGATCTCGGCTCACCACAACCTCCGCCTCCCGGGTTCAGGCAATTCTCCTGCCTCAGCCTCCTGAGTAGCTGGGATTATAGGCATGCGCCACCATGCCCAGCTAATTTTTTGTATTTTTAGTAGAGATGGGGTTTCACCATGTTGACCAGGATGGTCTCAATCTCTTGACTTGGTGATCCACCCTCCTCGGCCTCCCAAAGTGCTGGGATTACAGGCTTGAGCCACCACGCCCGGCCCTGTAATATAACTTTTCTATGCTTCAGTTTGTTCTTCTATAAAGTGGGGATAATAACAGAAATTACCTCATAGGTCTATTGAGCAAATGCAATGAGTCAACATGTTCTTGGCACATAAGCAGTGCTCAGTAAATCTTAGCAATTATCATTAATAATGACAGCTACCATTTTATTTTATTTTACTTTAAGTTCCAGGATGCAAGTGCAGAATGTGTAGGTTTGTTACATGGGTATACGTGTGCCATGGTGGTTTGCTGCATCCATCAACCCATCATCTAGGTTTTAAGCCCTGTGTGCATGAGCTATTTGTCCTAATGCTCTCCCTCCACTTGCCCCCCACCCCCCCACTGGCTCAAGTGTATGTTGTTCCCCTCCCTGTGTCCATGTGTTCTCATCGTTCAACTCCCAGTTATGAACGAAAACATGCGGTGTTTGATTTTCTGTTTCTGTGTTGGTTTGCTGTGGATGATGGCTTCCAGCTTCATCCATGTTCCTGCAAAGGATATGATCTCATTTAATTTTATGGCTGCATAGCATTCCACGGTGTATATGTACCAATTTTCTTTATCCAGTCTATCATTGATGTGCATTTGGGTTGGTTCCATGTCTTTGCTATTGTAAATGGTGCCACAACAGACAGCTACCATTTTTAAAGTCACAATAGTTTAGTCATTGTAAGTACAGCCTGGAACCTCATTGCCTGTGTTCAAATCCCAGCTCTATAATACATTGATTATGTGCAAGTCATTAAACTCTCTATGCTTTGGTTTTATCATCTGTAGAATGGGGATAATAGTATTATCTATCTCCTGGGGATTTTATGAGGAATAAATTAGTTAATACATGTAAAACACAATAGTGCCTTTCATCTAATGAGGGCTATGTGTCATGTAAACTATTCATTATCATTATCAATATCTGCCCTAACTACCAGCATCACACAAGGCACTGTAAAGATCTTATTGCACTGAACACACTCAACATCTCTGCAAGAGTGCTATCAAATCTCCATCTTATGGATGAAGGAACTGAAGTTTAGTGGAACTAAGTTGCTCCCCCAAAAAACACAATGAGTAAGTGGCAGTAGTGGCACTGAATCTCAGATCTATCTCTCACCTAAGCAGAGCTCTTACTATGATATGATGTTGCTCTTCTGACCAGCCACAGTGGGGGACAGGTGCCATGAAGAGAGAAAACAGTGATGTCAGGCTCATAAGACCCCTGCTCCCTCCTTCTGGCAGGGTGTGTAGCAAGGCAGTTTCTAATGAGTGTGAAGGAAACTCTAGGACAATACCTCTGCTATCTCCCCAGTAAATAAGCAGACATAGAATCTGGTGACCCCAATAATGCACACCCATCCCTGCTCCAGGCATATCTTGAGCCCCAGTTCTGTCTCGTCTCTGTCACCCCGCTTTGTTTTGTCCAAACCCTCCCCAGATCATGGGACAGCTACTATTTCACTGGGCTGTGTTTCACTGGACCAAAATCAGGGTGTTGGCCAGACTGTATGCCCTGCTGACTCTAAGAGAGAATTCTTTCCTTGCCTTTTCCAGTTTCTCATGGCTGCTGGCAGTCCTTGACTTGGGCTGCATAACTTCAGTTTCTGTCTCTTGTCTTCTCATAGTCTTTTGCTCTGTGAGTGTTAAATCTCCCTCTGTCTACCTCTTCTAAAGAATCACATGATTGCATTTAGGACCCACCTGGATAACCCAGGATAATATTCCCATGTCAAGTTTCTTAATCACATCTGCAAAGACTTTCCCTGGTATAAGTTAACATGTAAGGATTAGGACTTGGAGGTCATTTTTCAGTTTACCACAATAGTTGATCAACAAAAGGGGAGTTCCTTCTTATTCCTTCTGGAAAGCATTCTCTGGCCAATGTGCAGAGCTAAGAAGAATTTCACACAGCTGCAGGTTACCTTGGTCGCTGTCAGAAGAGCTCATGTTTGTTGAACACCTACAATGCACAGGCATTGTAACATACCTGACCAGTGAATATGTATTAATATTTCCATTTGACAGCGGAGAAAACTGTGACCCAAGGAAGCAAAAGCAGGACAGTTGCAAACAGATGAAACTGAAGGTTCAAATTTGGACTTCTCACAATTGTGTTTTAGATTTCGTTACGTGTGCCATCGAAGACTAGGGGAACTATGCTGTGTGTGGGCGCCACCTAGTGTCCGCACAGAGCAATTCTTCCGTGAATCGGCCCGCTCCGGGTTTCGGGACTGACTCCCTCACGATCAGCCTTCGCATTGTGGGGCGTGTTATTGGGAGGACCATGGACTAAGAGGCTTTGTCGCCCCAGAGATCTGCGTTTGAACTTTAGCTCTGCCACTGACCAAGTGATCTGGGTCCTCCTTTTCTTATCCTCCACTTATCCTTAACTCTAAAATAAAAATGATACCTCTCAGAGAGGTGGAGAGGATGTTGGAAAATGCTTTGCAACAAACTGGGAATAATTGGGGAGAATGGAAGGTAGCATTGTCTGCAGTTGACCAGGCTTGGTTTCATTTTAAAAAATACTTAATGTGCACCTGCTGCGTGTCAGGCACTGTTCTGGATGTGGGAATGTCGCAACAAATAAAACAGACAAAATTTATGTTTTCGTGTTGTTAATATTCCAGCATTCCAGTTTTTGAGTAGTTCATTCATTCATTTACAAATATGTTTCTGGCAGTCCTGTGTGCAGCACTTTCCCAAGCAATGGGCACAGAGGGTATCTAATATAACTGGAACCCAGGAAGCCAGGGGAACGGGATGGAGCAAGTCCAGAGTTGTGGGGCCCGAAGCTTATACGATTTAGGATATCAATCATATACCCTAAGAAAAAGAATGCAAAGTCAGAAGTACAGAATTAGGCTAGAAAGGGATTTTTTAAGAATGAGAGATGAAATAAACTTTAGCTGGCATAAAAACACAACGCATAAAATCTAGAAAAATAGCATAATATTTTTTCATGATATGCCTCTATAATAATTTTTCTCTACATTTTTTTCCTGTATCTTCTTTGATCATCTAGTCATGTCAATTTTGTTGTTGTATTTTCTTCAAGGAGACTGTGGAAATAATTCAGTCTCTCCTCTACAACATTAATTTTTTGTGTGTGGATACTTTAAACAATTTTCTTTATGTTGTAAAAATGCCCTGTATGTTTTTAGGATTATTGTCAAGTTTGGGGAAATCTCTATGTTTCTTTTATATATGAGCTGTAAGCCTTCTTGTAAAGTGATTAATTTTACATATTATTTGAGTTGACAGTATCTCAGCCAATTTATTGTTGCTGTCCCTACTGTAGCAGTGTATTAGAAGTTCTATATTTTCTTCCCATATGTCAGTATTTCATGTTAAATAATTGAGAAATTAAAACTTTCCCAATGTCTTTATATGATTCACTCCTTTTAATTACTTAGACTATCAAACAATTTAAGTCTATTGATTACTTTCATTGCCAGAAAAGGGGGTCTTGGTTCAGACCCCAAGAGGGTTCTTGGATCTCGCACAGGAAGGAATTCAAGGTGACTCACAGAAAGCACCGAGAAGAAGCAGTTTTAGTGAAAGCGACTCAGTTACAGAGTAGGGCACCTTCAGAAAGCAAAAAGAGAAATACCTCATCTTTAAGTTTTCCTTATGGAGGGGACTTATCTATGAAAAACTGAGCTATGTCTACATGAAGGTGGGCTGACCGCATGACAAAATTTAGTACTTTGTTGATTTAAAGAAAATTATCCTTGGCATTTTAGTGTATACGTCCATCAAAATGATTACAATCAAAAATGTCCATCAGGATGACTATAACAATCTTGGAAGCACATACTGTTTTGGATACCGGGACATCTGGACTTCTGCTGTTGCAGGAGTGCATCTTGCAGGGGTCTTTAAGTTGTTTTCTCAACTGTAAATGTCTTATGAACATGGGTCATGACTGGCAAGATATGGGTCTTGCTGGTTTTATGATGGAGTTGATTTTAAAATGATGTCACCCTGGCTCTCCTATGCTCCTGTTTCCCTGGCACTTTGATTTGAAATGTATCTATTCCTCTTAATGAATCAGTACTTTTGTTATGATCTGCAGGCTAGTTCATCTGTAAGCACCTGACATCGCTAAGGCAGAGATGGCCAAAGAAGACATGAGCCAATTCATGGAATTATAAATATGCAACTTCTCACATGGAGGTACTAGCTGTTTACAGTACTGTTGCATGCTTGTGCTCTATGAACACAAGACTCTGATATCTTCTAGTTTGTGCAATTTCTATTGGAAAAGAAAAAAAAGTGCGGTGCATTTATAATTGCATATATTGCATTGTCAGTAGATTCAAGTAGACAGACAGACAAGAACTTCTGCTTTAACTGGGCTTTGATGAGAATCAAATCCTCTGCTTATATGTCTGATGATCTGAAGAATTCTTGGTAGACTAGCTTTTGGCTCTGTGTGTTTCAAATTTTGTTTCTTATCTGATACATACATACTCCTGATGCTATGCATGAAAATGATTTATGGCCCTGCGCCGTCATGTCACAGTGCAGGACGAGTCAGCATGGTGGGCTGTAGATGCATTCCTGGAAGCCATTCCTAATGAACATAGACAGCAATGACTTAAATATAGATCCAAGTGACTGTGGACCACATAAATAGATCCCTCTGACCCTGAATTTAATGTACATGTAACTCGCTCTGCCTCAGCTGCATCCCTCAGCTACTCCATTGCTACCAACGCAGTGTGACAGAGAGAGTTGGAGTGGAAAAAGATATCCATCTTCAAAGAGTATGACAAAATATCTTATTTTCGAAAAGCTTACAAAAACCCATGTCCATATGAAAACACTGCTATGCTTCTCCCAGGGCTTTGGAGGAGGCCTTGCAAGTGACAGTCCTGAAGCTGAAGATTCCTTAGTGTTAAGGTAAATCCACCCATGTGAAATGAAGCCAGAATTACAAGTAAGGGGGAAACCACGCAGGGCCTTGCAGTTGTTAGGAGGAAGTTTGAGTTTTATTCTAAGAACAGGAAGACTTAAACGGCTTTAAAAGGAGAAGCCAGCTGGTAATAGGATTTGATCTATGTTTTGAGATGGAGTCTCGCTCTGTCACCCAGGCTGGAGTGCAGTGGCTCAATCTCCACTCACTGCAATCTCTGCCTTCCCGGTTCAGTGATTTTCCTGCCTCAACCTCCTGAGTAGCTGGGATTACAGGCACCCACCACCAAACCAGACAAATTTTTGTATCTTTAGTAGAGTTGGGGTTTCACCATGTTGGCCAAGCTGGTCTGGAACTCCTGGCCTCAGGCGATCCACCTGCCTTGGCCTTCCAAACTGCTGGGATTACAGGCCCAAGCCACTGTGCACGGCCAGGATCTACATTTTTCAAAGACCCTTCTGGCTTCAGTGTAGAGCAGCTGTCTCCAACCTTTTTTGGCACAGGGACCAGTTTCATGGAAGACAATTATTCCACGAGCTGGGGCGGTGGCGGTGGGCGGCATTAGATTCTCATGAGGAGCACGCACCCTAGATTCCTCACATGCGCAGTTCACAGTAGGGTTCGTGCTTTGTGACAGGAGGCGAAGCTCAGGCGGTGAGGCTCCCTAGCCCTCTGCTCACCTTACCCTGTGCGGCCCTGTTCCCACTGGGGGTTGGGAACCCTGGTGTAGAGAATGGGCTTTAGGGAAGCGAGTGACAGGAAGGAGGCTGCCCAGGGGTTAGAGCTTTTCCAGCAGAGGGCTGGCTTAGACTAACTAGGGTGGAGTGGGTGGAGATCTTGAGAAGGGATAGATTAAAGTCATATTTGAAGGTGGAGTGATGGGCTTGCTGATGGGTTGGCATTAAAGTAGACATGAGGGTAGCACTAAGGGTGTCTTCCAGACATTCTCCTGAATGGTTGCCATGATACCATTTTCTGAGGTGGGAAACTGAGAACTAAACTTCAGCCTGAATCCCGTCTCTACAATTCCCAACCATGTGATCTTAGGTTACTAATTTTTTCTCCAGCCCTTATTCAAAAGGGGGAAAACCAGTAACTACCTCGTGAGATTGTCTGAAGAGTAAATGATACAACCCAAGAAAATGCCCAGCCAGGAGCCTGGACCTTATCAATAACCTTATGTTGGATGCCATTGCTGCTCCAAGATTCATTAGTATTTACTATCAATCTCAAGAGAGGAAACCAGATGCTCTTGTGGGATTTTTCTCAGGTTCTAGCACTTGGCTTTGGCTACTGAGAACTGTGATATTCCAGGCTGAAAAATATTTGCTGTTCCCAAAGGGCAGGTCAACGTGAATGATCTTTTTAATAATAATAATAATAGCTGATATTTGTTGAGCACTTATTATTGCTCGGCTCTTTATGTGGTCCATTTTATTTATTTCTTACAATATCCCATGGCGCAAGTACTTTTATCGTTTTCACTTTACAGATGAGAAAATCTTAGGTTCAAGGGTTGAAATCATTTTTCCTGTGACCTCCAGCTGATAAGTGGAAGAGACTGGACTGCATCATAGGGATGTTCAGAGATCAGGCAGAAGGATCGTCTTTTCCAACAGGACTATGGAGCCCAGGCCCCGTCTCTGTCATGCCTCTGCTCAGTCTTGTCAGGTCTGAGCGCCAGGACAAAGCCGGAGACCTCACGCTAGGACCGGTGAGCCTTGCCCACTGTCTGCATCTGTCCTTTCTGCCTCGTCCACGGTCCCCACCAACGCCCCGCGCCCTCGTCCCGTTCAGACACGGTCCGCTCCACTCTAGCCCACTGCCCTACTCCGTACGTGACCCTAACGCCCGCCCCGTCCCCGCCGCCTCCGACCCTCCCCCGGCCGTCGCCCCCACCCGGCCCAGTCCCTCAGCATCCCCGAGTCCCTCAGCCGCTGCCCCACCCCGTCCCTCCTTACCCCTACACTCCCCTCCATATCCCATGCACGTCCCTCCCCATCCCCTGCACGCCCCGCCCCACCCCCTGCACGTCCCGCCCTCGCCCGCTGCCCTTCCCATCCCCTGCACGCCCCGCCCCACCCCCTGCACGTCCCGCCCTAGCCCGCTGCCCTTCCCATCCCCTGCACGCCCCGCCCCACCCCCTGCACGCCCCGCCCTCTCCCGCTGCCCCGCCTCCTCTACGCCCCGCCCCACCCCCTGCACGTCCCGCCCTCGCCCGCTGCCCTTCCCATCCCCTGCACGCCCCGCCCCACCCCCTGCACGTCCCGCCCTCGCCCGCTGCCCTTCCCATCCCCTGCACGCCCCGCCCCACCCCCTGCACGTCCCGCCCTCGCCCGCTGCCCTTCCCATCCCCTGCACGCCCCGCCCCACCCCCTGCACGTCCCGCCCTAGCCCGCTGCCCTTCCCATCCCCTGCACGCCCCGCCCCACCCCCTGCACGCCCCGCCCTCTCCCGCTGCCCCGCCTCCTCTACGCCCCGCCCCGCGCCAGCTGCGCACTGCGGACGCCCAGCGGCGCCAAAAACTTAGCGCCCGGGACCTGACTCGCGGACCCGGCGACTCCTTGCAGCCTTAGCTCGTGCGCGCCACACCTCAGACCCGGCTTTGAAAGTAGGGCGCAGCCTGAGAGGACAGCCGGACCCCGAGGGCTGTAGGCGGGCTGGGAGATGGGGGCCGCCGCCACCCACATCCCCACACGCACCGGGCCCCGGCGCCTCACCGCCCCCTTAGCTCGCGGCGCCAAGCCTGGAGGGTCCCGCCTGAGGAAGAAAGGTCGTCGCCCGCAGCCCAGCTAGGACTGGAGGCGCGACCCGGGGTCTCCTTTCCCGCACGCAGAAGAAAATGGGCGCTGTGGCCTCAGTTTCCCTCCTTGAGCACCCGGCCTTGAACGCTGAGGAGTCTTCTGTGGAGGAGCCTTTGGCGTCCCTCTGCCCCTGAGAGTGGCCGTCACCTGCTCCCAACCGCGGCCCCTTCCTTTCCCGTCCCTCACCCGCTTCTGCCTCCCCTCCGACCCCGTGAAGGGTCTAGCTCTCTCCGGCTCTCCCCACTCTCCCCACTCTCCCCACTCTCCCCACTCTCCCCACTCTCCCCACTCTCCCCACTCTCCCCACTCTCCCCTCTCCCCACTCTCCCCACTCTCCCCACTCTCCCCACTCTCCCCACTCTCCCCACTCTCCCCACTCTCCCCACTCTCCCCTCTCTCCCCACTCTCCCCTCCCAGGCTCCCCGTCCGGTCTCCTTCCTGCCCTTCCTGCGGTTCCCACAGAGTGGCCCCGTCGCATTAGCTTCACTGTGCACGAAGTCAGTTCAATCTAGAGCTAGAAATAGCCTCCAAGACGTGGGGGTTTTTTGTGTGCATAGTTTGTGGGGAGGGGGAAAAGGGTAGGTAATAATGTGCTCGGGAAAAATCAATGTCTCAGGAATAGTAAATCGCAGGGTTCGGGGTTTTTGGGGTTTTTTTAAAGCCCATCACTTAAAAAGTACATTTTATTTATTTTTAATTAATTTTTTTTTTTGAGACGGAGTTTCGCTCTTGTTACCCAGGCTGGAGTGCAATGGCGCGAGCTCGGCTCACCGCAACCTCCGCCTCCTGGGTTCAGGCAATTCTCCCGCCACAGCCTCCTGAGTAGCTGCGATTACAGGCACGCGCCACCATGCGGGGTTTCACCATGTTGACCAGGATGGTCTCGATCTCTTGACCTCGTGATCCACCCGCCTCGGCCTTCCAAAGCATTTTATTTTTTTTGAGATACAGTCTCCCTCTGTCGCCAGGCTGAAGTAATGAGATCCCGGTTCACTGCAGCCTGTCCCCCAGATTTAAGCGATTCTCCTGTCTCAGCCTCCCAAGCAGCTGGGATTACAGAATCCCACCACCGTGCCTGCCTACTTTTTGTATTTTTAAGAGAAAAAGGTTTCGCTATATTGGTCAGGCTGGTCCCCAGTTCCTGGCCTCAAAGTGATCCGCCCACCTCGGCCTCCCAAAGTGCTGGGATTACAGGCGTAAGCCACCACTCCGGGCCAAAGAGTACATTTTTTTTTTTTTTTGAAACGGAGTTTCGCTCTTGTTACCCAGGCTGGAGTGCAATGGCGCGATCTCGGCTCATCACAACCTCCGCCTCCTGGGTTCAGGCAATTCTCCCGCCTCAGCCTCCTGAGTAGCTGGGATTATAGGCACGCGCCACCAGGCCCAGCTAATTTTTTGTATTTTTAGTAGAGACGGGGTTTCACCATGTTGACCACGATGGTCTCGATCTCTTGACCTCGTGATCCACCCGCCTGGACCTCCCAAAGCGCTGGGATTACAGGCTTGAGCCACTGCACCCGGCCAAGAGTTCATTTTAAAAGTACCGCACACCACTCGGAGCAATTTGAAAAGATAAATAGGAATTTATTCCGAGATAGCAAAACACACAGACTAAAAAGAAAGACAGTGGAACCAATGCAAGGCACAAGCCATAAACATTAAAATCTCCAGCTGCCCGGTGGGGGAACATGGTTTGGCGGATTACATGCAAAATACCCAGTTTGGGTATAATGATTGGATCTTGCGGTAGAAATGGACATTGATCGAAGTTGACCTAAGTTTTTAATTCTGTGGTCGACCCTGTGTTTATCTTGGCTCAGTTTTCTTTTATCAGAACCTTAAAAAGCTACATAGTGGCAGTGTAAGATTACTGATATGTAAGCAATAATTTGATTCTTCTCTAGAAGTCAAAGTGTTATAACATCACTTCTCATCTTTAGCTTAGTCATGGAGCCCTGTGGTGTTACCAAGAATAGTACAGTTCGTAAAAACAGTACAGTTTGTAAAAATGTCTATTAATTCCTTCTGTTTGTTTTAAGTGAAGATTTTCTTTTACCGCTCTTATTTCAAAATATTTAAATTTGATTCTTGTTTTGTCCCTTGTCTTCTAATTCTTTTCCTATAGTTTCTTGTTTTCTTCATTTTTCTACTATATGGAGTGGAAACTTCGCTCCACTTTTTGGAATCCCATGATTTTACCTTTAAAAATCAAAATATTGTTTAATAAACCAGAGCATCTTAAAGAGAGCAATGAAATTCAACACCTGTGTATAAATCAATAATCCAACACTTCTTAAATTCTTAAGTTTTAGAAAAGAGGTGCTCTGTATTAGCTTTTCTTGGTTTTGTCTGCCTTTTCTTACTCTTGTTTCTTATTTCCGTCTCCTGTATTTTCAACCTTCCTCTTCTGTTTATTTGACTATATTAGTAAGACGAAAACTCAATTTTTTTGTATTAAATAAGTGAAATGTAAGAAGAGATCATTAATCAGGTTACATTTAAGCCAGGTATAGGGGTGTAGTTCACAATCTACTAGAACTTTGTCGTTAGGTTATAATTTTATTTCTAAATAAGTTTCTCTTATTTACAAGCAAATAATTTGAATTGAATAACACATTGAATTAGAACATAATCTGAATGTGATTTTGTAGAAGTGATAAATATTTGTCTTATAAAATAGCGATAGAAAGTTTTTGTGGTAAAATTTTAAATATCTTTTCATGTTCTCTCTAGTTCATTAAATACAAGTAAGATACAGGCAACATGTTCTACACACATGTGCTTATGAGTAAACGAGGGCCATTGGCCAAAATATGGCTTGCAGCTCACTGGGAGAAGAAACTCACAAAGGCCCATGTATTTGAATGTAATCTAGAGATAACCATTAAAAAAATTCTTTCACCCAAGGTATGTTACTGATTAAAATTATAGCTTGTATTTACAGTGACTTTGGGGGAGGAAAGGCATATAAATATGCTTATATCAGGAAATACATTTTCAAGGAAGTTTACTTGTCAAATGGTCTTTCCTTTAATTCCTGTAGCATTTAGTGTTATAACAAACATTGGTTTCTGTTGACAATTAACTTTTTCATATATCTGTCATAGATAGATTGGACCCTAAGGGATAAAGGCCATATTTTATGTGTATTTATAATCCTTTCTTATTCACTAACAAAATACAGTAGACATAGTAGATACTTAATAAACATCTCTTAGAAAATAGTGAACAAATGGGGAGGGTAGAAAGATGACTGATTATAAATCTAAAAATATGTGAAAATATGTCATAAACAGTAAAGTACTATGTTCATTATAAAACAGTGATTAGAATTTGCATTACAGTATTTGATATTATAATAAGTATTTTTCAACTTTAGAGAAGGACAAATTGAAAGCCTATTGTGTGTTAGGCTCGGGGCTGGACTTTATGCCTGTAAGTCTAATCTTTACAACAACCCTATGAGATTGGCTTCTTTGAGCTTCTGTGAACTGTAGTTAGCATGTTTTGAGTTGGCCAAATTTACATTTAATTATTGCTTTATCACTTAATAATTATATTACTTTGGGCATCCTACTTAACATGTCTGAGTCTTAGTTTTTTCTTCTGTAAATGGATGTTGTTGTCAAAATTAAATAAATTAGTGTATGAAAAGCTGTTAGAACAATGCCTGGCAAAAAGTAAGTATATAATAAATTGTAGCCATTTTTATTAAACTGATGTTCAGGATGGTTAAGTGACAGCTTCAGCAACTGAACCAAGAACTGAACCTAATTCTGTCTGACTACAGAGTTGCTATTCCTCTCATAATACCAATAATAGTATACTTTACTTAAATGTCATATTAGATTAACTTTCTTGAATAAGAATCAAGTCAATCATTTTGTAAGGTGAGGTAAAAAGTTAAGTGATTTGCTTTAAATAAGAATACAAAATATCTGCTTTTTAAAGAGAACAAATTCTTATGATGTCAGTAACTTTCAAAGAATAGGATTTATAAACCTAATTTTTACTCTTCTAATACTTCAAAAATTGTTGAAAGGTGAAAATTGCACTTCGAACTTCAGGACACCTTCTTTTGGGAGTTGTTCGAATCTATAACAGGAAGGCAAAATATCTATTGGCAGATTGCAGTGAAGCATTTCTTAAAATGAAGATGACATTTCGCCCAGGTATACATGTAATGTTGATTTGTCTCACTCTTCTTGGTTCCCTTTTGCATTTTAGTTGGGGGTGGGCTCTTTAATATACTTCAGGTGAGTATGGTGAATGTAAACTTAGTTTTGAATGAATTTAACTTTCCATGGTTGAGGATAAATTGTATTCATTTCCTTGCTGTTTTCCTATGCATGCAGGAAAAGGTTGTGCTTTCTAAAACTTGTAATGTTCCTGCATATTTATGTAGGATATATACTTAAAGTCACTACACTTGCATAAGAAACTCTGATACTGTTTTTAATGGATCATTTAGTTTGTCTTACCTGTTTTTGCCTTTATGAGAGAAATTAGAAATAGTATGATTGACAAAACACAGATATCAGTAATTGTAATTGTTTTCAGAATTCTCAAGACTCCAAGCATGCTGCTTATGGCAAATCGAAAATCCCTAAGCATTCCAAGGTGCCAGAGGTTTACATGTATCATAAGTATAATGCCTTCAAAATGTATATAGCATCTGTTTCACTTTTAAGACATTCTTTGTTTTCCCTCCTTGTTTTGTGGTTATTTAGGTGCAGATTTGCCTCTGTCACTAGTCTTCAAACTTGTTGAAGGCAAGGTCTTTGTCATAATTATTTTCTGAATCTCTTATAGTATCTGTCTCAGTGCCTTGCACATACTATTCCATCAATCAGCAGGAAGGCAAAATATCTTTTGGCAGATTGTTGAATCAGGATTGACAGATTTTTTTTAAATCTTCATTTAAAATACTTGCATAATCTCTAGGTGAATTTATATTTATATCAAGTATGGTTTATTTGTTCATTTATTATTTTTTGCATGTTCCACAAATATTTATTGATTTCATATGCAGTGCCATACATTATGTTAGGCTAGGGGATAGAAAGACAAGATAAATAAGATTCTTTTCAGTCAGGTGAGGAAATCAGATAATTAAAATATTAAAAACTTATTACAGGAATTATAAATTATAATTGTGCTATAAAGGAAAATAAACAGAGTGCGACAGCAAAAAACAAAAGAGTAGTTCACTTTAATTAAAATAATTGGAAAATCCTTTCTGAGGGGATAGAATTTAAGCTCAGACTTGAAAAATGAGAACTACCCAGCCATGTAAAAAGTCCCTGAGGGAGTAGCATTCTAGGTAGAGGAAACTGCAAGAGCAAAGGTCTTGAGGTGGAAAAATGCTTAACTTTTTCAGGGAACAAAAAGGCTAGTATGGTCAGTATGGTTAGAAAATAATGAGAAAAGAGATGAATGTCATTAGCTGATGCCTGATAGGTTTGTAGGGGTACAGAGGCTCCAATTGGAAATTTTGATTTTATTAAATGCACAGGAGAAGTCACTAAATCATTTTAAGCTTTAGAGGTATCTAACCTGATTAATTTTTTAAAATATTACTTTGTCTGCTTTATAGAGAATGGACTACAGAAGAGTAGGATTAGATAGAAGAATACTAGTTAAAGAGAATAAGCAGTAGTCCAGTAAAAGAATATGGATCGTTAGTTGAGAGTTCCTTATTTTATATAGCGTTGTTGCTTATTTAGTGTGGTTTTTTGTTCTTTTCAGGACTGGTCGACCTTCCAAAAGAGAATTTTGAAGCATCTTTCAATGCTATCACATTGCCAGAAGAATTTCATGATTTTGACACCCAAAATATGAAGTAAATTATTTTATTTTCCTTTGGTTTAATTTTCTTGATATTTGCTTTTATATTCAGATTTCATTGAGGCAAATGGAATGTAGTTAACAGGTGAAAAAGTACAGATGTGGTTAATAAAGACTTATATTTGGTATAAAGTCCCAAAGTACAACAACGAAAGTGTATCATATTTATTCAATGTAGTTTGCAATATTGACAGTATATTCATATATTCATTCAGTAAATATTCATTGTGTGCCTTCCATATTCCAGAAACTATTGTAGGCACTGAAGAGATAGCAGTGAATTAAGCATAGCTGCTGGCCTCATGGATCTTAAATTTTAGTTGGGGTACATAATAAATAAACAAATGAATACATGTCAGGAGATGATCACCATTATGAAGAGAAATACAAAATGAAATAAATAGTGTGACAGGAAAGGCTTTTCTGAAAAGGTAAAAACAGAAATCTGAAGGAGGTGAAGGAACAAATCATTTAGTAATGTGGAAGAATATTCTAGGAAGAGCAAGTAGAAAGGCCCTAAAGCAGAGAGCATACTGGACATTTTCGAGGAGCAGCAGGAAGGCAAGTGAGACTAGTGGAGTAAATGAGGGGCTGAGTGGTAGGAGATGAGGTCAGAGAGGTAGCAGGAGACGCAGATGATGTATGGTGCTATACACTACAGTGGGACTTTTTTTTTTTACTCAGGTAACACAGGAAGGTTTGGAATAGAGAAGTGACAGGATCTGACTTGATTTCAACATCTTCTCTCTGGCTACTTAGTGTAAGGGGAAAGGGAGGAATCAGAGAGCCCATGAGAATATTATTGTAGTAAGAAGTCCAAATGAGAGAATATAGTATCTATGATCAGTTCTCAGTCTTCATCTTACCCAGGTGGTAGCAGTCAAGTTACAGATATATCTGGAAGGCAAAGCCAGTAGGATTTGCTGATGAATTGATTATAGCTTTAAAAGAAAGTGAAGGATATTATATGATTTTTGGCATGAGAACAGACTAAGCACTTAATAAGATTAGGATAATCAGATTTAAAAGGGACAAAAAGAAGGAAGTAAATTAGGTTTTATATATAAGTTTTGGGATGACTGTTACACATCTGTTATGGTCTGAATGCATGTGTTCCCCTAAAATTCATACGAGGAAGATACAAACATTTAGGCCATAGGAATAGTCAACATCTAAGCCAAATGATGTTGAAACCTAACCCTCAAGGTCATGATATTAAGAGGTAGGGCTCTGAAGCCACAATGATCTTTTAGGAAGAACAACAAGAGTTGGAAGTGATTAGGTCATAAGGGCTCCATCATCATAAGTGAGATTAGTTCCCTTATAAAAGAGACCTGCAGGAGTTTTCTTGTCCCTTCCACTGTGTGAGTTCACAGCAAAAAGGCACTGTCTATGAGGAACAGGCCCTCAAAAGATACCGAATCTGCTGGCACCTTAATCTTGGACTTCACATCCTCCAGGACTGTGAGCAAAAAAATTCTGTTGTTTATAAATTACCCAGTTTAAGTTCTTTTATTATAGTTGCCCAAATGGACTAGACAACATCAAAAGGGGGTTGGTAAGTAGTTGACTCTCTGGGTTGGAAATTCAGGAGAGAGGTCTGAACTGGATGTATACATTTGCAAGTTGTGAATGTCTAGATGGAACTTCAACCATGAACTCTAAGAGAACCTTAAGGTAGTGAGTATACATTTAAAAAAGATAGAGAGATGGATCTGAGGATTGAGTATATGGTCATTCCCAATAGTTAGTCTAGGATATGAGGAACAGAAAAGGAGCAGGTAGGAAGAAAATCAAGAAATAGTGATATCTCAGAGGCCAAGACAATAACGTATTCCATGAAGGGAGTTTTCTTAGTCTGTTTGGGTTGCTACAAAATACCATAAACTGGGTGGCTTATTAACAATCGAAATTTAGTTCTCGTCATTCTGGAGGCTGAGAAATTCCAGATAAAGTTGCCAGCAGATTCATTGTCTGGTGTTGGACTGCTTCCTGATTCATAGATGGCAACCTTCTCACCATGTTCTCACATGGTATAAAGAGTGAGGCAGCTTTCTGGGGCCTCTTTTATAAGGGCACTAATCTCATTCATGAGGAACCTGCCCTCATGACCTAATTACCTCCTAAAGTTCTCACCTCCTAATACCACCACATTGGAGATTAGATTTCAACATATGCATTTGGGGTTAGGAAGACACAAACATTTAGGCTATAGCAAAAGTCAACATCTAAGTCAAATGATGTTTGTTTGTGCAAGTAAATAAGGGACTGAAAATTGACCATTGGATTTGGGAGCCTAGAAATTATTTGTATACATGTATATATAATAAACTAGTATTTATAAATAATACTATTGAGAAAATGAAAATTGTTTTAGTTTCTTCACTGTATCAATGATATTTTTACAGTATCATTGTTTCCTGTTCTCATGTTTTTCTCAACTTTATATTTCTCCATAGTGCTATTGATGTTTCAGAGCACTTTACTCAGAATCAAAGCAGACCAGAAGAAATCACTATTAGAGAAAATTTTGACAATGATCTACTTTTTCAAGCTGAGGGCTTTGGTGAGAATATTTGAGAACTCAAAATTAAAAATTATAATCAATTATATTTGTATTTGTGTATTGAAACAATGCCAGTAGAAATAGCTATAGAATGAATCTTTTGATGTATAAATGTTATTCTCAATAAATTTTTCCTTGCCTTTTCTAGTTTAGATGTCAATGCTAAGACTCAGTCTTAGGATATACTTCTATTCTCAGTGTATAACCATTTACTGAATACCTACTATATATCAGGTGCCATCAATAGACAAGATAGCAGAAGCAGTTTCTGTTCTCAGGGAGATTCAGGGTGAGACAGACATGTCAATAAACAGTTGCTATATCAACATACATACATTTTATATGTATGCTGCATGAAATGCCTTCAAAATATATTTCTTCTGATATATGATGATATCAATTATAAAATAATGGATTTTAAATCAGCCCGGGGGTGAGGAAGAGGAAATGCTACCACACTAAATGTATATATTGATTGTGAAACAGAAACTGAATTTTAAAATGTTAAAATCTGTTTGGGCAAGGTGAGTGTACTTTATTTTTAAATTTTTTTGAGACAGGGTCTTGCTCTTGTTGCCCAGATTGGAAGGCATGATCATGGCTCACTGCAGCTTGACCTCCTAGGCTCACAATCTTCCCACCTCAGCCTCCTAAGTAGCTGGGACTATGGGTACATGCCACCACACTCGGCTGCATTTTAAAAACTTTTTGTTAAAGACAGGGTCTCGCTATGTTGCCCGGGCTGGTCTTGAACTTCTGTGTTCAAGCAATCCTCCTGCCTCAGACTCCCAAAGTATTGGGTTTACAGGCATGAGCCACTGCCTGGCTAGTGTACTTTAAAATTGAAGCAATATGGTATAATTTAGAGTATTTGCTCTTTTTCTTCTGGCATCTACTACTCCCTGTCTTATATCATGATATTTATACACCTCTTGTCTTGGTCTGCAAACTCCATGAGGGTAGAATCAGTGTAATATTCGTATTTGAATTCCCTATAGTGCCCAAAACAATCATTATAGGAGAAAGATGGCCTATGTCTATCTTGGTTGGGGAAGGCAGTCAAGAAAGTAATGCTCTACCAACATCTCTAACTTTGACTTTTTATCCTCACTCTGCTTCCATAACTCTTGCTATATTTGTAGCTGTGTTTCTCAATCTGTGGTGAAGGACCAGTTTTATAATTTTTGTCAATTTTCAATCTGTATTATATTTTACTTTGTAAAATACAATAAAATGAATTATTAGAAAAATTAAAAATTTAAAAATCAAAATACAAGCTTCAAGTTTTGTTAGTAAAATCAACAGATATAAAATTGCTCTATCAAATTTCTGTAAAACTTTCTGAACATATACTTTTAATTTATTTTCTTTCTTGTGGACCAGCACCAGTCTGCAGATTATCCTTTAAGTAGCACTGATCTCTTACTGGGTATAACCCCAGACCCAGAACTGTAACACATTGGCAAAGAGGTAATAATATTCCCTACTCCCAAGACACTCTTTACAATTCCCCTACTATTCTTATTTGGGCCTGAAACTTTAAGATCACTTTTTTTTTTTGATATAGGGTCTTGCTCTATCATCCAGGTTGGGGTGCAGTGGCATGATCTCTCCGCCTCCCAGGCTCAAGCAATTCTCCTGCCTCAGCCTCCAGAGTAGCTGGGACTACAGGCATGCGCTACCACACCCGGCTAATTTTTGTACTTTTAGTAGAGATGGGGTTTTACCATGTTTGCCAGGCTGGTTTTGAACACCTAGCTTCAGGTGATCTGACTGCCTCAGCCTCCCAAAGTGCTGGGATTGCAGGAATGAGCCACTGTGCCTGGCCAGGATCACTTTTAACTATACTTTCAGTCAGTTTCATACTAGTGCTGTTTTTTGTTTGTTTGTTTTTAAATTCTGAAATGTCTTTTAGGTCTTTTTTCTATTTCCTTAGCCACTGATATAGTTCACCAGTACCAAGTCCTGGAGTATTGCAATACCCTCCTGCAAATCTTCCTCTAGTTTCTTTCCACATTTTATACACATTTGTAAGAGCAATTGTCTTTAAATTCCATTTTTGATATATCGCATACCTCTGCTTAAGTGCAAAGGATTGGGTCCCTGTGACTTACTGTATCATATATCTCTACCTATACTCAAGCCCCTTTGCCAATTTATCATCTTCTTTATTTTATCAGCTGTATTTGTTTTACTCTTAATATGGTCTTTTTGCTCTAGTCAAGCAAATATCTTACCACCCAACCAATACAATTTAGTTGTTCACATTTCTGTATCTTCCTATACAATTTTAAAAGGTGGGAAGAACATGTTCTTAGTAAATGGACAGATTTGGGTTTGAATCTGAACTTTCTCTATTGATTTGCTGTGTGATATTGGGCAGATTGCCTAACCTCTCTGAGCCTTACTTCCCCTATTTGTAAAGTTGGGATACAACTAACAATATCATAGGGTTATTTCCCTTATGCCTTCCTTTAATCTTCTTCACCGGTGATTTTTCTCTTCTTTAAAAACTGATTCAAACCTAATATCCTCTAAGAAATATTTAAAATTAATCCATCTTATTCTGGATTATAATATAACATCAAAGGCAATGATTATTTCTTTTATGTAATTTGTGTAATCCGAGATTCTTGTAATGCTCAATGCTGAGAATACAGTGTCTTCCTAAGTCTTATTCTCTTATTGACCAACGCTGGCTTTTCCTTTGGGAGCTGTCAAGCTGTATCTGGATGATGTGAATATATTCTTAATTTTTGAAAAAGTAATTTGATCTTTTCTTCTGAGCAAGTCTTTAACCCAGCATCATGATAGTTGTTTTTTTCCACTCTTCCTTTCTGGAAGATTTAGGTCTATAAAAGAATTTTCAGTATGGGTGATACGTCATTATTTTCTTTACTGTCCAACACTAACATGGGTTTTTAGAGGGAGGAGAGGACTAACCTGGACCCCAGGGGTTTCAGACTCCTGGACCTAGAGATTCAAACCCAAGAGAGGGAAAGAACTGATTTCTGGTCAAGAGCTGAGTTCTGGTCCTCTGGAACTATCAGTATAGTGTCGTGATTGTCAGAATGCAGGCTTTGGAGTCAAAGACAGTTGGGTTCAGATCCTGACTCTGTTATTAATTATAGTGTGACTGTGTGCAAGTTACAAAACCTTTCTGTGGTTGTGTTTCCTTATCTGTACAATGAGAATTATAATAGTATTTTTTTATTATATAATACATATTATAAGCACTCAGTTAATGTTAGCTGACTGGGTTTGTCTTTTTTTTTTTTTTTTTTTTTTTTTACAAACCTGTATCACTATCCCCTAGCATATTCAATAAATATTTATTGAATGAATGTTGTAAACCCTTTCTCTAATATTTTACCTACCTTTCCATTTTCTAAGATAGTTGACATGTTCTCTATTTTCCAAACCTCCAGTATTCATGAACAGCACAAGCAATTGTCCTTGAAATACTATGAGATATACTTGGTCAAGCAGAACTGACTTACCTAAAATAGAAAAAAATATTTTCCATAGTATTTTTACCTTAGGAAGTTATTAAACTATATCACAACTATAAACTGTATGTAATATTTTGGCATTTTTTTTCTATTGTATTTGAAAGAGCATTAGACTAAAAATCCTGTCTTTACTGATTAACTGAGTGACTTTAGTTGAATAATTCAAATAAGTCTTTCAGCCATTTTCTTCATCTATAAAATGATGTGTTGGATGGCAGGATTATGCTAGATGATATCTGAATTTCCTTCTAACCTAAAATTCTGTGTTTCTGTGACTTAATATTAATGATATATATTTATTTAGGGGAGGAACCTGAAATTCTTAGAAGACATAGCTTCTTTGATGACAACATATTACTGAATTCCAGCGGTCCTTTAATTGAACATAGTTCCGGAAGCCTCACTGGAGAAAGATCTCTGTTCTGTGACAGTGGAGATGGGTTTGGAGATGAAGGAGCTATAGGAGAAATTATTGGTAGGCTGTCTGGTCATGTAGAAATCAAATATTTATTTTAATCTAATTACTATATTAGTAGATTTATTATACCAATCTAAAATTTCAAATATGTTTTTGTGTTATGTAGGTCAATACATTTTTTATTAAATTTTTAAAGCCTCTGGCATGTTTAAATATTTAGGCTAGGCCTTAGTAAATAACCATCTGTTTAAATACATTTTCTATAGAGCTTATAAACTACTACTTCTTTTTACTTTTACAAATTCCTCATTTTTGGTGGGAAGAGAGTGAGGTTGGTATATTCCTTATAAAATATACTAGACTATATACTGGAAAACATTGTTTTCTTTAACATATGTTGTGGGGCACTTAAAGTATTTTTCCAGAATTTTATATTATTATTTTATGTTTATATTCCTCTGCTTAAGTGCCTTGGGTCTCCCTGACTTACTGTATCAAATACCTCTACCTATCCTCAAGGCCTTCTACCAATTTATCACCTTTTTTTTTAATCAGCTTTATGTGTTTTAATACAGACTATTTCACATTATAAAATAGTCATAGAAATCGGGTAGACAAAAACTGAGAAGTCCAAATGCACATGTTTTATTTATTATTATTATTATTTTGAGATGGAATCTTACTATGTCCCTCAGGCTGGAGTGCAATGGCATGATCTCGGCTCACTGCAATCTCCACTGCTCAGGTTCAAGCAAGTCTCCTGCTTTGGCCTCCTGAGTAACTGTGATTACAGGGGCCCGCCACCACATCCAGCTAATTTTTTTTGTATTTTTGGTAGAGACGGGGTTTCACCATGTTTGATCAGGCTAGTCTGGAACTCCTGACCTGCCTCAGCCTCTCAAAGTGCTGGGATTACAGGAGTGAACCACCATACCCAGCCTAAATGCACATGTTTTAAATATTGTTTATTGACTGTTCCTATCAAATCTTTCAAAAATTTCTCTAGTTCACATTAAAAGTCTGGCTATTCCTTTACAATGTAATGCATAAAGTAACATTAATAAATGTTTAGTGACAAATGACAGATTCCAGTCTGTATGAAAAAGTATTCATTGTGTTTTTCAAGACAATCTATTGCAAGATGATCAGAATATCCTGTTAGAAGACATGCATTTGAACAGAGAAATTTCCCTGCCTCCTGAACCTCCCAGTAGTTTAGTGGGTATGTTGAAATATTTCTTTGTGGGAAAGTAATGGGTACTAATGTTTAAGTTGAGCCTCAGAACTTCTGAATTGAAGTAGCAGTATAGAATAGTGAAAGGTATTTGTAGGGCTGTTGGGCCCCACAGGGTCGTGGGGTGTCCCGTATGCTGTGCTGAGGTGCAGTATCTGAGAAGTAAAGAGACAGGACACTGAAGAACTGGTGAAGAGCATCTGGACTTGGGGGGCCACACCACCTGTGAGCAGAGATCAGCGAGAGCCCTAAATGCCCAGAAGCATCTGTATTTATTAGGTACAAGCAGTGGGCAGGGCTGTGAGGTCATCATATAGAGGCTTAGTAATAGGACATACATGATCACGTGAGTCACAAGCAAGGGGGCCACCCCATTATGTCACCTGTGCAGAGAGGTGGGCCGTGGGCAGTAGGGGGCCATGCCGTGCGCTGTAGTAGAGGGTTGTGTACAGAAAAGGGGTCTACCCCGATTAGGTCACTGAGGCAAGGAGGTGGGCTGTGTGCAACAGATGTCCTGCACAACACTTCTTATCTGGGGGCTGGAGACTTCAAAGGATTTCTAATAGAAGCCAGTGCAGTGGGAGCTGACAGACTTGTGCTCTTCTCACGATATTTATGGGAGGATGATTTGAGCTGGCACAGAAGCGAGAAAAGGCTTGACAGGGTGTACGGCCACTGTGAGTGGTCACACCAGAGGAGTTCTTCTCCCTCGGTTATTTCCACGATCTCAGGCCTAAGGCCTACTTTCCACAGGAACTGGATGCAAGGCACTACAACTCCTTTATCAGGAGGAGAAGCTCTTGCTCCAAGCCTTCCATATAGCATATGCCCTTTCAGGCAGGGACGCCACCACCAGGGTCTTTGGTTCTTGTCCTGGTCTGGCTGTTTTCCCATGTACTGCTTCTGTTCTGTGACTGCTCTAGGCATTCCTCCTGCTACAAACTACTATATGGTTATATAGAAGGATTCTATAAATCAGCACTAAATGTGTCAGTACAGCTCCAACTACAACACCTATATGATTAGATAGAAAGATTATATAAACTAAGTATGCTAGATATAAGAATTAAGTATGATAATATAAGCTAGATATATTTAAGCAGTAAGTTATACTTCAAGCACTATTTCTATAAACAAATATACGATTACATATAAAGGATTATATAAAGGAAATAGCTGAGTAATAACACTATAAACTAAGATATTCTTCAGGCACTAATTGTGCCTGGGGTCTGGACAGTCCTCCTTCCTCGGTGCCCATCAGGGGTGTTACCCACAGTAATAAAGAACAATGTCCTTCAAACTCTGCTAGTCTGACTGTAGATAATATAAAATAAGAAATTGGATTTTGAGAAAGGTACATTGAAGGGTATTTAGCCAGTATTGGGTTTAGCATGAGAATACTCTGCCAAAATATTATACTTTTCATTTATTAATTTATTATTTTATTACATGGTAAGAAATTAACTAGTATGGTTTGATAATCTACATACAATTTGAGAGAAATTACAAATTGAGGATATTTTCCCTACTTGAAATTCATGTGGACATACCTCAGATGATTTGAGGTCTTTCAGTCTGATTTTTTTTAAGAATTAAAAGTACAATTAGCCCCATTTTGATTCTACACAATTTCTGATGTTATATTTGCTTTCTAAAAATAATAGTAAAAACTGAAAATACAAAGAGCTAAGTAATAAAATTTTAGTTCGTTTTTTATGGGTCAACTGATAAGTGATTTAACAGAATACCAATTTTTTTAGCAGACATATAGTCAAATTTTTATTAGTCATTTACTGTAGTTGCTGCCAGTGTTTTCACTTCTGCTGTGATTTTAGCCCACCCTTAGATGTCTCATGTGCAAAAGGGGATGATAATACTTGACTCACTCGAATTCTATGGGTCCCAGATCATATAATCTGTAACCCTCTTCAACTCAATTAAATAAATGATTCTAAGAATTCAGATGTTCCAGTTAGCAACATAAATCTTCAGTTAGTTTATGTTTCCCTTTAATTCTCATACAGTTGTCTAGCTTGCATCCTAACTGTTTTTTTTTCACAATTACTTTTATGTGGATGTTGCTTAGTTGAAGCAGATAACCCAGAGTGTATATGTGTACCTGAAAATGAAAAAATGGATGAAACAACCTTATTATCAACTGAAGAGGAAGGATTTACCCTTGATCCAATTGATATTTCAGGTCAGAGGCATTCAGGTTTTGGTTTTAATTTTTAATATACTGATTTACTTTGAGATGTTTAAATAATCACTGAAATATTATAGGAGGTAGTCAATCTAGTACTAGCACTTGTAATACAATAAAGGAGAAGACTGTGAAGGAAATTTTAGATGATCCTTTTGAGGTAGGAAGCAGGACTCAACTCCAGAAGGGGGCTTGGACACTGGACCAGATGAGGACTAGCTTCAGGGGGGAGTAGGGGAAGCTTTCAATCAGACCCAACCACCAGTGTGCCCTGTCAACTTACTGTTGCCATGGCGACACCAGAAGTTCATCCTTTTCCACGGTGATGACCCAATGATTACTGCTCCTCCCCTGCATAAACTGGCCCCCTTAATCTGCATGCAATTAAAAGTGGGTATAAATATGACTGCAAAACTGCCCTGAGCTGCTTGTCTCTGCCTACTGGGTAGCCCTGCTCTATAGCAGCAGTCACAGTGCTAGAGCTGTAACGCCGCCAGAGCTGTAACAGTGCCTATTCAATAAAGCTGTTTTCTTCTATCTCTGACTTGCCCTTGAATTTGTTTCCTGGACAAAGCTAAGAACCCAGATGGGCTAAGCTCCACTTTGGGGCTCATTTGTCCTGTATCCCTGTACCGCTTTCATTATATTCCATCCTGTTCAAACCATGTATCCAGTTTGGGAAACTGAAAAATTTAAAACTGAGTTCGATTTAGGAAGGTATTGAGCCATTACTCTGCAGTAGGCACAGGAATAAAGAAGAAGACACACTTTTTACTTTTAAGAAGCTTACAAAACAGTCTAGTCAGGAAGACAGATAATCATGCAAGTGAATAAAAGGCAGAATAAAAGGACCAGAAGAGAGGCACAATGCTGTCTAGCATTTAACTTCAAGCATCATGTTTTTAGGGGTAAGCAGTAAGTATGAATCTAACGTAACTAATATAACTACTAGTCTATTATAACTAGGTCATTTAGAAACATCCTAGTTTTAGGTAGTATAATTGACAAGAATTTCAGTTTATAAACTCAGGCATGCAAACAGTAAAGCATTTACTTCTTCTTTTTTTTTTTTTCTTTTCTTTTAACTGACTTCACCACTGAGCCTCTCTCCCACTAGGCTGGCAGGAAATTCCATCTGTATAGCTTCCCTGGCTTCTTTCCACCATGTAGTTCCAGAGTTTGGGAGAGGGGTGTGGAAAGTGGAAGGGAACCTCTGGTTATCAGCCATACCAATTTGTGGTTCCCACTGCTCCAGCCTACATAGCCTGGGGATCATCACTTAGCCAACCTCTCCAGATCTTGTCTTGTTCCTGAGATTTTACTGAGGCGCATCAACCAGCAAGCAGGTTCCTGTACCTTTTGGTTCCATTTGATCTTGGATCTTTATTTATTCTGAGAAATCTAACACTCTCTCCCCTTTTACAGCTTTACTAAAAAAAAGCTTGACTTCTGCTTTCTGCCTGGTCAAGCTTTTACTCCATCAAAATTTTACTCCATCAAAATTCCCTGATGGAGTAAAATCCTATGGACCTAGTTACCTGCCTGGAATGTCTATGAATTTCAGTGGGAGAGGAAAAAATACAAATTAGTGTTGCAGAAAATTATTCTATTACATAAGCATTTTAGGGAACCTCCAAATTTGTTGACTTCCCTCTTTCCCACATTTCCTCATTTGCTCACTTAACTCTTTCTAAGCATTTCCAAACAACACTTTGCAAATGTATCAGCTATTGGCTGCTCAGCATAATTTTCAGATCCAATGCAATGCTGTAGGTTGTACTGTGGTAGAAATTTATTTTCTTTTTTGGAGATAGGGTCTTGCTTTGTTGCCTAGTCTAGAGTGTAGTGGTATGACCTCGGTTCACTTCAACCTTTGCTACTCAGGCTCAAGGGATCCTCCCATATCAGCCTCCTGAGTAGCTGGGTCTACAGGTGCATGCTACCACTTGTGGCTAATTTTTGTATTTTTTATAGGGACAGGGTTTAGCCATGTTCCCCAAACTGGTCTTGAATTCCTGAGCTCAAGCAATCTGCCCACCTCAGCCTCTTGAAGTGCTGGGATTATAGGCATGAGCCACTGTGACTGGCCTAGAAACTTCTTAAATAATTAGTAACTACAATATGATTTTAGAAAGCCATATAACCAATCACATTTGTGCCAATTTCTTATATTTAGACATTGCTGAGAAAAGGAAAGGCAAAAAGAGGAGATTGCTCATAGATCCTGTCAAGGAGCTCAGTAGCAAAGTTATACATAAACAGCTTACTTCCTTTGCGGACACACTCATGGTTTTGGAACTTGCACCTCCTACCCAAAGATTGATGATGTGGAAGAAGACAGGGGGAGTGGATACACTTCTGTCAACTGCTGCCCAGGATTTGATTCATGCTGAACTGAAAATGGTAACAGTTTCTATCCTTCTACATGAGGGCAATGTTTGGTTATAAATAAATAAACACAAATTTACATACATATATTTATAACAATTTAAACTTGCTAAGACGTACCTCCTCATTTTGAATTAATATTCTGGATTGTATGTATGAATTCTAGTTTTTTTCTTTTTAGATATGTGCTTGTGTTTTCTTGAATTGTTTTGCTGGTACAAAAAAAAAAAATGTGTATTTTTGCAGTTGTTTACAAAATGCTTTCTGCCCTCTGGCTTTAAACTTGGAGGAAAAATGATACAGAAGGAGTCAGTAAGGGAAGAAGTGGGAAACCAAAATATAGTAGGTGAGACTTCTTAATTCTGTTGATGTTGAGGGGAATGTTGTGGAAACAAAAATTTGATGTTTTAAATTTCAAATTGAAGATGGGATCCAATTCCATATTTTAGGCATAAATGCTAACTCTAGAAGAGTAGTTGAACTTGAATGAAATTATTACTTCATTATTGCATTTTTCTGCATTTTAGATTAATTTTTGCCCCAAAGATTTTATTAAAAAGATGAAGTATATGTACTATGTAAACCATTCTTATTATCACTCTTCCTACCTCTTCACTCCCAAAGGCAGTACTAAAAAATCCTTTAAAAAGAAAATTTTTATATGTAGCAGGATAATATTTCAATGTAAAACAACTAACATGAAAAGTCATGTAAGGATAAGAACAGCACTTAATACAGTTAACCTGAGATGGATTATTTCTGTCTACCGAAAAGGCACATGGAGTATTATAATCACTGATTATTATCATGATTGTTTTAAAGTAATAATAAAACCAAATGATGTGATGAGTGAGCCTCCACTTCCTGATGAACCTTCCTGAAGGCATTAAAACCTACTGAATAATATACCACCATGGGCTTGAACTGTTCATGTTGTCTTGTGAGTGAACGTGTGAGACTATGTGTAGAGGAGATGGTTGGCAGAGAATGGGGAGTGGAGGTGATAAAGAGACAGAGAATGGGAAAGGGAAGGTACATATGGGAGACTTGGGAGCGATAAGAAAGTTTGTGTATCCTTTGCTTAAATTCTTGGATCCCAACTTGTCTGTCAGAAGTTTTCTTTTGTTATGAGCATATCACAGTTCAATTTTGAAAGATATTTTGGTGAAGTTGTCTTTATTTCCTTGATAATTCAGAGACATCCATGATGCAAGAGCCAAATTCCCAGCAAGAGTTAAGTAAACCCCAAACTTGGAAGGATGTGATTGATGGATCTCAGCATAGCTCTCATGAGGGTACCAATAAAAATAGTGACTCTGGGGTAAGTTATCCAGAGAGAATCATAAAAATATTTTATTTTCTATAGATATAGTAAAGGAATGTTGGGACTCTGGTATATTTTTTTACATTTGTATAGTTCATATTTCATTTTAAATTGTTTTATAATTTGTTTAGTAAGTAGCAGGGTAAAACATGATTTTCCTCTGCAAAATTTTTCTAGGAGTTTCAGATGTAAATCACAAGATAAGGTGGTTTCATACTGAACTAGTATTTTGCATGATACATTAAATCAATGATTGTCTATATGTAAATCTGGTTATTTTCTGAGAATCCTACTAGGCCTCATATTCTATGCATCATAGAATTTTTTAGAACTGCAGCCAGTATACCATTTTGCTTCTCATCATAAATTCACCCTCTTATCTCTAAGAATAATATATTTTAGACCCACCAGTTACCTCGGCATTGAGTCTGAAAGACTATCTAAAGATCTATGACCAAAACAAAATTTTAAAAACTTTTTATTTGAAGATATAATTTTTATTTGAAAAAATTACTATTTGAAAACATAGTTGGAAATAATGTGCTTTTAAATATTTTCTCAATTGTTATTTTATTGGTTGTACAAATATAAATATTATAGCCACACCAGATAAAAATAAACCAGTGCTTTTCTGGTCGGTTCCATTATCACTGTGTTTTGATAACCACTCAGGGAATTCAGTCAACTCATGTTGAAACTGAATGCCCTTGGAAGGAAAGACAACTTCGCAATGCATTCAAACAGAATGCATTTTACTAAATATTTGATAATATACTGGATATTGAGATACTGGGTTGCCGGTACTGCTCTCTTCCCCACTTGGGCTCAGGCATTTCTTAAAATGTACCTACCAAAAATTATGATTAGACAAACCTCTTTAGTTTATGGTTTTTTGGAAGGAAATGATAACTGCAGTTATCATAGACAAAACAAGACAGATTGTCCCATGGGCTTGAAGTCGAGAGAAGAGAGATTGATGTACCTCTTCTTTTGAACCTTTACTCCATTACCCTGTGCTTATGCTTTAACCTTCAATTCTGCTCTTACTCTGCTTCCAAAAATGGTTAACAAATGTGAAATACAGTCAAGCATGGGAGTACAAGAACAAGAGGGACAAGAAAATATTGATTCTGTTTAATCATTTTCAAATCTTCATAAAAAAGAATTTTTATATATCATAACTGCAAAGTTGAGAGTATCAAAATGTAGAATATTCATATAATTAAAAGAGAAAAACAAGACTTCACAAATATGTATATTAAATAATAAAGTATAACTTATATTTACTAAAAGTTTTTGAAACTGAGTGGAAAAAGCAGGTAAACTATGTTAATGGAGGCCCTTAATCAAGATTGGGGAAGACAGCTGGAGAATGAAGCTTGGAGACAGGTTGAAGATGAAAAGGGGTTGACAGCTTCTATAGCAATGAGAAGGGAAGGAGATGATAGGGACTAGGGACTCTCTGACTGTCTCTTTTTCTTTCTTCCTTTGTGTCTTCACTCCCCTTCCAGCAGACAGTTTCTTCCTCCCTTTTTCCCGTGACAACTCCAGCAGTGGTGGCAGGAATCCTGTCATGGTCCCTGGTAGGGATAGTAATATCCTTTCCCTCACTCTCACTCCCTCTCCGCATGCCTATAGCAGATACCTTTCCTCTGCCACCTGGTATTGGCATGAGAATAGAGGTAAGGGAGTGGGGCTACATAAAGTGCTTCAAAGCAAAGTGGTCTCAGTAGCACAGCAGTAGAGAGTAAAGTCTCTTTAATGTGAGGCCTGCAGTAGCAAGGAAAATAGAAAGGAAAAGGATAGGAAGCAAGGAGGGAAGGGGCATGCAAGTTCTTCCTTTATGCAAGGCATATGGAAAACAGGAATAATAAGTCAAAGACTGCCTATCTGGGATAGTTCAGAGATAATATTTTGAGAATGTGGGTAGTCTTTTAAATTCGTTTGAGAAATGAGCATTCATGTGATTAAAGCATTTAACAAAAATCAGATTGTTCCTGTATAACCACTGGCAGATTTACCTAACTTTCCCTAATTTGCTTCAGCAGGATCTTGTTGAAATGGTGTCATTAGCTGCTGAGGAATCATCTTTAACAAATGACTTATTGGCAAAAGCAATTGAATATAGTCCAGTTGAATTGGTAAATATGTGTATAGTCTTGGGGATGTTATTAAAAATTTTATCTCTAAATATTTAACACCTTATTTATCAAAAACTTGGCTTTTAAAACTGTCATGTTACCTTCTAAATTTGTAATTTAAATTTGTAACTACAACAGAGATGTTTGTGAATAGTTTGATAAAATATTCCGAATTGCTCTGATTTTTGTCTTTAATTTCTTTTCAAACTTCAAATACTTTTCAAGAAAATGGTGAGATTTTTGTGCTTATCAAAAGTAGTGACAGGATTTAAAATGTTAAGAATCACTGTTTTAAATTATTGGTATAACATCTCTAGAGAAACAGAACTACATTAAGAGTATGCCAGACAAGGGCATTTAAATTTTATCTTATTTACCAAAAAATTGTGAGCAATTTTTTCTTTAACATTATGGGGCACAAGTCTTGTATCTATACAAGACTTCTGGAAATCTGAAACAAAATAATCTGGTGGTCAAAGGGCCACATGTCAATTGCAAAGACAGAAGTAAAGTCTGATTTACTTGACTCCCTGCTCGTTAACTGTCTTATTTCTCCAGTCTTGTCCCAGAGTACTGAATACATTTCTAAGATTGTAAGGAATTTTAGCAAATGTTTTTTACTAAGTAATATAAAAACACCTAGTGAGCCTGATATTAATTTGTTTCTATACAATTATCTATATAATGAGTTCCAAGACTAGTTGATTGATTTTTCATACAAGAAAACAGACCAAATTCTCTAGATAATCTAGGACAGAATAAATAACCTGAACTTTTTACCTGAACTATCCAAACAGCTGATCCAGAAGTGGGTTGATTCATTTTTGCTATTTGCTTTGCTTCTATAGATGCAGGTTATTTTCATACATGGTCAAGCAAACCACAACATAGTACGAGTTCGGCTGTTTCAATAATCCACTGGGCTTTCCACACAATGGATTCATCTGTAGGGTGTTCAGATAGATCAAATGTACAGCCTTTAGCAGAATGCACAGAGTATTTCTTCTGAGCCTTTCTCTGGTTAGTTTAGTTGTGCATTATAGGTAAAGCTAGAGTTTCATGGATCTTTAACAAAGAAGTTTTTACATTTCTAAAACTGCATTTGTTTATTTAAAAATAAAATGTTGGAGGGACTCAAGATGGTGCGGTGAGAACAACCCAGGATTGAAGCTCTCGGTGAATGCGCGGGGGGTGAGTCAGGGCCGCATTTCCAGATGGATCTTTGTTGCCCACAGAACGGGGAAATTTCCAGGTATAAAAGAGACGCGGGACGCCAGGCAGAGGTTTTGGCCGGTGCTGTAGCGCAGTGGCACTCCACAGTGCTCTGCACAAAGCGCACTGATCCGGGTGCCCTGTTGAACTGGCAATCTGAGACTTGAGAGGGCTGAACTTGAGACTGAATGGGACTTGGACAGTGAGCCAGGCCAGGAGATTCCAGGGAAACAGCGTTTGGGGTAGCGCAGTGGGACAAACAAAACGGCGATTCCAAATGCTCCGGGTGGAGAGGTTCACTGCAGGCACAGCTGAACCCAGGACAGTGTAGCTCCGTGGGGGAGGGGCGTCCACTATTACTGAGGCAATCCGCCCCTACTGAGGTACACGCCCATTGCTGATGCAGCCTGCCGTTGCCGAGGCAACCTGCCACAACAGAGAGACTCTGCCACAGGGCATCACCCGTGGCAGCAGGGCAGAGACTGCAGCAACAGAGTGAACCTCACACCAGCAGGGTGGAGCCTTGGCAGGCAAATAGTGACTAGACTGCCTCCTAGCTGGGCAGGACAGCACAACGGATCCTCAGAAAGAAAGCCCCAATCCCCTGAGACAGTGCATCTGAGAAAAAAAGGGTTTTTTTTAATGAGTTCTGCTGCAGCAGAATTAAATGTAGCAGCCTAACAGCCCTGAATGAACAACAGAGCTCACAGCTCAGCACTTGAGCTCCTATAAAGTATAGACTGTCTCCTCAAGCAGCTCGCTGACCCCTCTATATCCAAAAGACTGACATTTGGCAGGCATCATTCTGGGACAAAGATAGCAGAAAAAGAAACTGGTAGCATCCCTCACTGTTCCGCAGCTGCTATAGGTGCACTCCAGACAAACAGGGCCTGGAGTGGACCTCAGCAGTTGTACAGTGGAGGGGCTAGACTCGTAGAAGGAAAACCAAGTAGCAGAAATACTTCATTATCAACAATCTGGGCATCCACTCAGAGACCCAATAGAAAAGTCAGCAACTACACAGAAGACAGGTGGATAAATCCACAAAGATGGGAAGAAACCAGCGCAAAAAGGAGAAAAACACCCGAAACCAGAACACCTCGCCTCTTACAAAGGACCAAAACTCCTCACCAGCAAGGGAACAAAGCTGGAGAGAGAATGACTGTGATAAAATGACGGAATTAGACTTCAGAAGGTGGATAATGAGAAACTTTTGTGAGCTAAAAGAACATGTTTTAAATCAATGCAAAGAAACTAAGAACGTTGAAGAAAGATTTGAAAAAAGATTCGAGGAAATGATAACAAGAATGGATAATTTAGAGGGGAATATGAATGAATTAAAGGAGCTGAAAAACACAATATGAGAACTTTGCGAAGCATGCACAAGTTTCAACAGCCGAATTGACCAAGCAGAAGAAAGAATATCAGAAGTCGAAGATCAACTCAATGAAATAAAATGAGAAACCAAGATCAGAGAAAAAAGCGCAAAAAGGAATGAACAAAATCTCCAAGAAACATGGGACTATGTGAAGAGATCTAACCTACGTTTGATAGGTGTCCCAGAATGTGACGAAGAGAATGAATCCAAGCTGGAAAATACTCTTCAGGACATTGTCCAGGAAAATTTCCCCCACCTAGCAAGACAGGCCAACACTCAAATGCAGGAAATACAGAGAACACCACAAAGATATTCCGCAAGAAGAGCAACCCCAAGGCACATAATCGTCAGATTCAACAAGGTTGAAATAAAGGAGAAAATATTAAGGGCAGCCAGAGAGAAAGGTCGGGTCACCCACAAAGGGAAGCCCATCAGACTCACAGCAGATCTCTCGGCAGAAACACTACAAGCCAGAAGAGAGTGGGGGCCAATATTCAACATCCTTAAAGAAAAGAACTTTCAACCCAGAATTTCATATCCAGCCAAACTGAGCTTCATAAGTGAAGGAAAAATAAAATCCTTTGCAAACAAGCAAGTACTCAGAGAGTTTGTCACCACCAGGCCTGCTTTACAAGAGCTCCTGAAAGAGGCACTACACATAGAAAGGAACAACCAGTACCAGCCATTCCAAAATCACACTAAATGCTAAAGAGCATCAACATAATGAAGAATCTACAACACTAACGGGCAAAACAGCCACTTAGCATCAAAATGGCAGTATCAAATTCACACATAACAATATTAACCCTAAATGTAAATGAACTAAATGCACCAATCAAAAGACACAGACTGGCAAATTGGATAAAAAGCCAAAACCCATCAGTGTGCTGTATCCAGGAAACCCATCTCACATGCAAGGATACACAAAGGCTCAAAATAAAGGGATGGAGGAAGATTTACCAAGCAAATGGAGAGCAAAAAAAAGCAGGAGTTGCAATTCTCATCTCTGATAAAATAGACTTTAAAGCAACAAAGATCAAAAGAGACAAAGAAGGTCATTACATAAGGGTAAAAGGATCAATACAACAAGAAGAGCTAACAATCCTAAACATATACGGACCAAATACAGGAGCATCCAGATACATAAGGCAAGTTCTTAATGACTTACAAAGAGACTTAGACTCCCACACAATAATAGTGGGAGACTTTAACATTCCACTGTCAATATTAGACAGATCAACCAGACCGAAAATCAACAAGGATATCCGGGGCTTGAACTCAGACCTGGAGCAAGCAAACCTGATAGATATTTACAGAACTCTCCACCCCAAATCCACAGAATACACATTCTTCTCAGCACCACATCACACCTACTCTAAAATTGACCACATAATTGGAAGTAAAGCACTCCTCAGCAAATGCAAAACAACTGAAATCATAACAAACAGTCTCTCAGACCACAGTGCAATCAAGTTAGAACTCAGATTTCAGAAACCAACCCAGAACTGCACAGCATCATGGAAACTGAACGACTGGCTCTTGAATGTTGACTGGATAAACAATGAAATGAAGGAAGAAATAAAGAAGTTATTCGAAACCAATGAGAATGAAGACACAACATGCCAGAATCTCTGGAACACATTTAAAGCAGTCTCTAGAGGAACGTATATAGCAATAAGTGCCCATATGAGGAGAATGGAGAGATCCAAAATTGACACCCTATTGTCAAAATTGAAAGAGCTAGAGGAGCCAGATCAAAAAAACTCAAAACCCAGCAGAAGACAAGAAATAACTAAGATCAGAGCTGAACTGAAGGAAATAGAGACATGAAAAACCCTTCAAAAATCAATAAATCCAAGAGCTGTTTTTTTTTTAAAGATCAACAAAATAGACAGACCACTAGCCAGCTTGATTAAAAAGAGAAGAGAGAACAACCAACTAGATGCAATAAAAAATGATAAAGGGGAAATCACCACAGATTCCACAGAAATTCAAACCATCATCAGAGGATATTACAAACAACTCTATGCGCATAAACTAGTAAACCTGGAAGAAATGGTTAAATTTCTGGACACCTGTGTCCTCCCAAGCCTAAACCAGGAGGAAGCTGAAACTATGAATAGACCAATAACAAGGTCAGAAGTCGAGGCAGCAATTAAGAGCCTACCACTCAAAAAAAGCCCAGGTCCAGATGGGTTCACAGCCAAATTCTACCAGACACACAAAGAGGAGCTGGTACCATTCCTTCTGAAACTATTCCAAATAATCCAAAAAGAGGGAATCCTTCCCAAATCATTTTATGAGACCAATATCATCCTGATATCAAAACCCGGCAGAGACCCAACAAGAAAAGAAAACTTCAGGCCAATATCCATGATGAACATAGATGCAAAAATCTTCAATAAAATATTGGCAAGCCGATTGCAACAGCAAATCAAAAAACTTATCCATCATGATCAAGTAGGATTCATCCCAGGGATGCAAGGCTGGTTCAACATACACAAGTCTATAAACGTAATTCACCACATAAACAGAACCAAAAACAAAAACCACATGATTATCTCAATTGACGCAGAGAAGGCATTCGACAAAATTCAACAAGCCTTTATGCTAAAAATTCTCAATAAACTCAGTATTGATGGAACGTATCTCAAAGTAATAAAAGCTATTTATGACAAACCAACAGCCAATATCATACTGAATGGACAAAAACTGGAAGCATTTGCTTTGAAATCTGGCACTAGACAAGGATGCCCTCTTTCACCACTCCTATTCAATATAGTACCGGAAGTTCTAGCCCGAGCAATCAGGCAAGAAAAATAAATAACGGGTATTCAAATAGGAAAGGTGGAAGCCAAATTGTCTCTATTTGCAGATGTCATGATAGTATACCTAGAAGACCCCATCGCCTCAGCCAAAAAACTCCTGAAACTGATAAGCAACTTCAGCAAAGTCTCAAGATATAAAATCAATGTGCAAAAGTCACAAGCATTCGTCTACACCAATAACAGACTTAAAGAAAGCCAAATCAAGAACGAACTGCCATTTACAATTGCTACAAAAAGAATAAAATACCTAGGAATACAACTCACAAGGAACGTAAGGGACCTCTTCAAGGAAAACTACAAACCACTGCTCAACGAAATCAGAGAGGACACAAACAGATGGAGAAACATTCCATGTTCATGGTTAGGAAGAATTAATAGTGTGAAAATGGCTATACTGCCCAAAGTAATTTACAGAATCAACGCTATCCCCATCAAGCTACCATTGACTTTCTTCACAGAACTGGAAAAAACCACCGTGAACTTCATATGGAACCAAAAGAGAGCCCGCATAGCCAAGTCAATTCTAAGCAAAAAGAACACAATGGGGGGCATCACACTACCGGATTTCAAACTATACTACAAGGCTACAGTAATCAAAACAGCATGGTACTGGTACCAAAACAGAGATATAGACCAATGGAACAGAACAGAGGCATCAGACGCAACACAACATATCTACAACCATACAATCTTAGATAAACCTGACAAAAGCAAGCAATGGGGGAGGATTCCCTGTTTAATAAATGGTGTTGGGAAAACTGGCTAGCCATGTGCAGAAAGCAGAAACTGGACCCTTTCCTGACACCTTACACTAAAATTAACTCCAGATGGATTAAAGACTTAAACATAAGACGCAGCACCATAAAAACCCTAGAAGGAAATCTAGGCAAAACCATCCAGGACATAGGAGTAGGCAAGGACTTCATGAACAAAACACCAAAAGCATTGGCAACAAAAGGCAAAATAGACAAATGGGACCTAATGAAACTCCACAGCTTCTGCACAGCAAAAGAAACAGTCACTAGAGTGAATCGGCAACCAATAGAATGGGAAAAAAATTTTTGCAGTTTACCCATCTGACAAAGGGCTGATATCCAGAATTTACAAAGAACTCAAACAGATTTACAGGAAAAAAACAAACAAGCCCATTCAAAAATGGGCAAAGGATATGAACAGACACTTTACGAAAGAAGACATAGATGAGGCCAACAAACATATGAAAAAATGCTCATCATCACTGGTCATCAGAGAGATGCAAATCAAAACCACATTGAGATACCATCTCACACCAGTTAGAATGGAGATCATTAAAAAATCTGGAGACAACAGATGCTGGAGAGGATGTGGAGAAAAAGGAACACTTTTACACTGTTGGTGGGAGTGTAAATTAGTTCAACCATTGTGGAAGACAGTATGGCGATTCCTCAAGGCCTTAGAAATAGAAATTCCAATTGACCCAGCAATCCCATTACTGGGTATATATCCAAAGGACTATAAATCGTTCTACTATAAGGACACATGCACAGGAATGTTCATTGCAGCACTGTTTACAATAGCAAAGACCTGGAATCAACCCAAATGCCCATTGATGGTAGACTGGATTGGGAAAATGTGGCACATATACACCATGGAATATTATGCAGCAATCAGAAATGATGAGTTTGTGTCGTTTGTAGGGACATGGATGAATCTGGAGAACATCATTCTCAGCAAACTGACACAAGAACAGACAATGAAATACCGCATATTCTCACTCATAGGCGGGTGATGCAAAATGAGAACACATGGACACAGGGAGGGGAGTACTAAACACTGGGGCCTATTGGGGGAAAAGGGGAGGGCCAGCGGGGGGGGGGAGCTGGGGAGGGATAGCCTGGGGAGAAATGCCAAATGTGGGTGAAGGGGAGAAAGGAAGCAAAACACACTGCCATGTGTGTACCTATGCAACTGTCTTGCATGTTCTGCACATGTACCCCAAAACCTAAAATCCAATAAAAAATTAAAAAAATTAAAAATAAAATGTTAATAAGTGGGTGTCGTCGTTTATCCAAGGACAGATCAGAAAATAATAATCACAAATTATAGCTGAAGGGATTTGCAAAACTCTCCAGAATAACGTGACCATATTTTCAAATCAGTCTCTTTGGGATACAGGAAAGCATACAGCATAGGCAGGCCGAGGAAGCTGGGATAGTTGGTGGAAATGGGGACTCAGTAGTTCCCAGGCTGAGTCAAAGAGTCCCTTTAGCCTCACATGATTTAAAATGTCATGCAGAATATTCTGGTGCTTTCTGTAATTGTCTTGGAGTCTATGAAATCGAAAGCACTTTTAGCAAGTGTCTGGGCTCCTATACATGAAGGCTAGACAAACAGTGGACATGTGACGAGAGTGACACAGATGCTGTTGGGTTGAATGGTCAGGATTAGCTTAGGAAAAATTATAAAGTAGGCCAGCTTTGTGCCACTTCCCTTCCCCCAACCCTTTATAGGCCTCTTTTTTCAAATTCATGAACACCTTTCATTTGCCCAGTTTCTGTTCTCACATCATAAGGTGTTAGTGTGTAAGGGATTAGAATAAATTCTTGCAAATGATTTCAACTTTACCATTTTTAAATATTGAGATATTTCTGAAAGTGGTTAAGCCTTAAATACCAAAAAAATAAATAAAAGAATCTATAAAGATAACATGACAGGCAGTCAGGTAGTGGGTTTATCTCTTTTGGACAAGGCATCTCGAAATCTGAAAGGTTTGTAACCTCATTGTAAACAAACTACTAAACAGCAGTTGGGTTTAGAGCTTCCATTACCAGATAAGTTCAGATAAAGGCCTTTACAAAGCAAAAATAGCTTTATGTTTACTCCTGTCACCTGAATTCAGATTGACAGAACTAGGATAACCCTAGGCAAAAGTTGTTGTCTTTGATAACTTTACTTTTCAAAGTAACCATAAGGCCATGGACACATTACCAAATAAAGATGGCAGAATGAAAAAAAAAAAGATGGCAGAATTTCCTATTTTGGAGCCTCTTATCAGAAGACACCCTGGAGAATATAGGTGTAATTGTGCAAAGGCTGATTTATATTTGTATGTTAGCCTTATTCTCTTTATTATCAGACTGTAAACTCTTTATTTGGCAGGACCCACTGTAATAGTTGTGTTTCTTGTAGAAGATAACATTATGATTGGCAAATAGTAAGCATTTAGTAAAATTTGCATAAATTAAATATTTTATTTATCAATCAATCAAACAGGAGTCATTGAGGAATGAACAAAATATTGAGACAGAGAGATGGAATCGAAGAATACTTCATATGTTAAATCTTTTACGGGTGAGATGCTAGGGTTTGTCAACCCTATTTTTATTTTAAAAAAAGTAAATATGGACTTCAAGCTTCTAGATATCAATGAAAATGCAACAATTTTCCTTATTTTTTTTTTTGAGGCCAAATGCTACTAGAGTGCAATGATTTTCAGTAGTATACCCAGGGCTAAATATAGAAGTTTGGTTTTGGTACCTGCATATTCTAATCAATGTCTTACCTACCCTCATACCCTTAGGTATCTATTCTGTGTCCCATCCTTGTTTTTAGCAGGATACCAACTAATTCTCAACGTGAACATAGTTTATAGCAGTTCAAGAGTGACAATTCAGATAATTACAGAATTTAATTTATGTTTTTATCAAAATAATGCATGTATATTATTTTTAAAGTTCAGTAGCACCATGCAATAAAGCTGAAAAGACAAAAGGCTTTTGTCCTATCCGTCCTTATTCCTAAGTCCTGCTCACCAGAAGCAACGACACTAAGCTATTTCTTTTAGTATGTGTATCTATATTCCTAATTAACATGCTTTTGCTGCTCTTTCTTGGTATTTCAGCTTTAAACTACTGACTTCTTTTGACAGAAAATGAAGGTTTAGCTTAGTTATCTTTCCCACCCTAGTATACTTTTAGCATAGTGTTATGTGTTTACAGTGTTATATTTGTAATAGTTATGATGCAGGTTTGCTTGTGACAGGGATCCAAAATATTAGTGGCTTAAAAAACATAGAAGTTTATTTATCTCTCAGGTAAAAGTTCAAAGAGCTATGGCAGCTATGCTCACGGAGTTGTCAGGGACCCAGGTTTCCTTTATTTTCTCAAGATCCAAAATGGCTAACTATCCACCATGTCTATACTCCAATCAGCTGCAAAATATCCTTTAAAAGTACAACCCAGAAATTGTGTCACTTTTTACACTTCATTGAGTAGCACTTAGTCACATTGCCATATCTAGTTGGGAAATGTAGTCTTTATTTGGTAAATTTAGTCCCAGCTAATAATTCTATTACTGTAGAAGAGGAGAATGGAACTTAAAGGACAACTAGCAGCTACTGCCATAAATACTATATAAAATTAGTTTACATTGAAGCTTCATAGTATAATTATATTTCTTATCAACTTTATGGTTGTTTTGTCATTGGGTTTTTTTCAAGTTAATCATTACCTCATTTTTTTTTCATTTGTTCAGTGTCTCTAAACCCATTTTAACTATTTTTCCAAACTCTGACAGTATGACCAAACTGTGACAAACTCCGGCAAAAATACCATTTTATGGTTTTATAATATTTTTTAATATCTCTTATCAAATAATCCACCAGTTCCGTTTTTTTCCTTAAAGGTATCTGTGTGAGCTCACCATCCTCTTGTTCTGATCCAAACCAGTTGCTCTTTAGGTCTGTTCCATAGTTTTTGTCTTAGGATATTGCTTTGTCATAAATATGGGAATTTATCTCTTCCTGTATGTATTATTACCCCTGTGTTTTTTGGTGCTTTGATCTTCCTTTATCTTAAATTTTTTCATGGTTAACATCCTTTTGTAATTTCCTGAGTTAAAGGGTCCATAAGAGATAGAGAGACTCTCCATACAAGCCTGAGCATTTATTTCACCTTTAACATGATTGTCTCTAGACATAAGTTTAAAATATATTTCTCTCAGATGTTGAAGGCTTTGTAACATTGCTAGGATTCTTGTGAGGTTGTTGAAAGGTCAAATGTTGTCTTAGTTGGTGATCCTTTGTAGGTAACCTTTATTTTCTCCCTGGAAGCTTTTGATCTTTTATTGTCAATTATTATTTTTATCCCTGGCACTCTGGAATTTCATGATGTTTGGTTTTTTTTTTTTCTTTCACTTATTGTGCTTGTCATGTAGTGTGCTCTTCTATTTAGGAATTTCATGTTCCTGAGTTTTAGAAAATTTTAAAAAATTTCTTGGACTTTCTCATTATTATTATTGTTTTTTAAAGTTTTTCATAGAGTCAAGGTCCTGCTGTGTTGCTCAGGCTAGTTTCAAACTCCTGGTCTCAGTTTCCTTGTAATTTATCTGTTTTGTCTTCCTGAAGGGCTTCTGAGTCAGATGTTGAATCACCTGAACTGCTCCTTTAATTTTTAACAAATATTTTATCCTCTATATTAATTTCCCTTGTATTTGTGTTTTTCTACTCTCTAGATTGATTCAACTTTGTCTTCTATACTTCACTGAATTTGTATATCTGCTCTCACCTTTTTGTTTTCCAGGAGTTTTTTTTTAGTTACTAACTATTCTTTTGTTATATAGTATCCTAATATTTTTATTTAATTATTCAGTTATGTTTTAAAAGCAGCTTTATTGAGATATAATTAACATGAAATAAACTATTTATATTTAAAGTATGTGTTAGATAAGTCTTGACATATGTATATGATTTAAAAACCTTCGCCACAGTCAAGAGAGTGAACATATCTCAAACCAGAAAAACTTTCCTTGTGCCACTTGTGAATCCCTCATTTGCATACCTCCAACTGGTACCCCCATTCCCAAGCAACCCCTCATCTGCTTCCTCTCACCGTTTCACTATTATCCTAGCCATTTTCATGAATACAATGAAAAATTCTCTTAATTTCAGAGGTTGCACTTCTGCTCCCTGCATTAGCTTTCCTTAGTGATTTTCTTGAATGCATTTCTTTTTACTCTTTAATATTAGAGATTTTACTCAAATGTCTTGTAGATCCTAGGATTATCTGTTTTTATTTAAGACACCACAAAAACGGATTGGAAGTTATATATGCATGAGTAGGGCTTATAGACTTATAGTTTTTACACTCAGGTAATTAGGTGGCACCCCTCACCTTCCCCAGATTGTATTACATAACTGGATTTTGTTACCCCCTTAGAATAGTAGGCTTTTCCAGAGTAATCCTTAAGTCTGCTGCCTAGGAGATATAAGTAGGGTGCCAGTGGCTCAGGAATCAAAAGGAGGTAAAGTAGAGGCCAGTTATTTCACTGTTCAGAGTGTAGAATTTCCCTTAATCTCACTATTCTTGGTATGACACTTCACCATCCACAGGGCTACTATCCTAAGTCCAGAGCCTTGGTTCTTGGTATCTCCAGAAGGGCAACTCCTTGCCTTCTACTATATGAGTAGTGACCTCTGATTCTGTGAAGTGGTGGAGTGGACAGAAGGTCTAACTGTTCCCAAGTAGATTCAATTCTCAAGGAATTCTCCTGTTTTTAGCTTCATGCCTGCTTCCCAGTTTTGACACACTGATGTCTCCAACTCCTGAGCTTTTCCAAGATACGGTGCCTCAAATTGGCTTGCTTTTTGCTGCCTTCACCACTGCCAGCACTGAGGTTTCAGTTGTCTCTACTCTACTAAGTCAGTTATGTCTTCCACTTTCTTTGTCTTTATCTCCTTCCTTTGTCACTTTTTCTTCCTTTACCTTCATTTCAGAAAGGTTTCTGAAGGGAACAGAAATAAACACTTATGTTTAATCTTGCATATTTGTCCCTTTAGGGTTTTTCAAAATAATTCTTGAAATTGAAAAAGCTGTCCTTATTCTTTTCTGGGGGAAAAAGCTGTCCAATTCACATCTTTTTCTCTCAAGGTGGTGAATAAATGTAGGGTGGATATGCCATCTTTGAAAGGTTACTGGCCCTGGGCCACACCTTTGGTTAAGAAAAAGTATGATAAAGTATTTAATTTATTAATTTGTCATATGTTATGGACAAGCAAAACCTTGTATTTTTTTTTTAAATTTTTATTGGATTTTAGGTTTTGGGGTACATGAGCAGAGCATGTAAGACAGTTGCGTAGGAACACACATGGCAGTGTGCTTTTCTTTCCTTCTCCCCTTCATTTGGCATTTCTCCCCAGGCTATCCCTCCCCACCTCCCCCTCCCACTTGCCCTCCCCTTTTCCCCCCAATAGACCCCAGTGTTTAGTACTCCCCTTTCTGTGTCCATGTGTTCTCATTTTTTATCACCCGCCTATGAGTGAGAATATGCGGTGTTTCATTTTCTGTTCTTGTGTCAGTTTGCTGAGGATGACGTTCTCCAGATTCATCCATGTCCCTACAAATGACACAAACTCATCATTTCTGATTGCTGCATAATATTCCATGGTGTATATGTGCCACATTTTTCCAATCCAGTCTATTATCAATGGGCATTTGGGTTGATTCCAGGTCTTTGCTATTGTAAACAGTGCTGCAATGAACATTCGTGTACATGTGTCCTTATAGTAGAACGATTTATAGTCCTTTGGATATATACCCAGTAATGGGATTGCTGGGTCAAATAGAATTTCTATTTCTAAGGCCTTGAGGAATTGCCACACTGTCTTCCACAATGATTGAACTAATTTACACTCCCACCAACAGTGTAAAAGTGTTCCTTTTTCTCCACATCCTCTCCAGCATCTGTTGTCTCCAAAATTTTTAATGATCGCCATTCTAACTGGCGTGAGATAGTATCTCAATGTGGTTTTGATTTGCATCTCTCTGATGACCAGTGACGATGTTTTCATATGATTGTTGGCCTCATATATGTCTTCTTTCATAAAGTGTCTGTTCATATCCTTTGCCCACTTTTGAATGGGCTTGTTTGTTTTTTTCCTGTAAATCTGTGAGTTCTTTGTAAATTCTGGATATCAGCCCTTTGTCAGATGGGTAAACTGCAAAAATTTTTTCCCATTCTGTTGGTTGCCGATCCACTCTAGTGACTGTTTCTTTTGCCGTGCAGAAGCTGTGGAGTTTGATTAGGTCCCATTCGTCTATTTTGGCTTTTGTTGCCAATGCTTTTGGTGTTTTGTTCATAAAGTCCTTGCCTACTCCTATGTCCTGGATAGTTTTGCCTAGATTTCCTTCTAGGGTTTTTATGGTGCCAGGTCTTATGTTTAAGTCTTTAATCCATCTGGAGTTAATTTTAGTGTAAGGTGTCAGGAAGGGGTCCAGTTTCTGCTTTCTGCACATGGCTAGCCAGTTTTCCCAACACCATTTGTTAAACAGGGAATCCTTTCCCCCTTGCTTGTTTTTGTCAGGTTTATCAAAGATTGTATAATTGTAGATATGTTGTGTTGCCTCCGGTGCCTCTGTTTTGTTCCATTGGTCTATATCTCTGTTTTGGTACCAGTACCATGCTGTTTTGATTACTGTAGCCTTGTAGTATAGTTTGAAATCCGGTAGTGTGATGCCCCCTGCTGTGTTCTTTTTGCTTAGAATTGACTTGGCTATGCGGGCTCTCTTTTGGTTCCATATGAAGTTCATGGTGGTTTTTTCCAGTTCTGTGAAGAAAGTCAATGGTAGCTTGATGGGGATAGCATTGATTCTGTAAATTACTTTGGGCAGTATAGCCATTTTCACGATATTAATTCTTCCTAACCATGAACATGGAATGTTTCTCCATCTGTTTGTGTCCTCTCTGATTTCGTTGAGCAGTGGTTTGTAGTTCTCCTTGAAGAGGTCCCTTACGTTCCTTGTGAATTGTATTCCAAGGTATTTTATTCTTTTTGTAGCAATTGTGAATGGCAGTTCGTTCTTGATTTGGCTTTCTTTAAGTCTGTTATTGGTGTAGACGAATGCTTGTGATTTTTGCACATTGATTTTATATCCTGAGACTTTGCTGAAGTTGCTTATCAGTTTCAGGAGTTTTTGGGCTGAGGCGATGGGGTCTTCTAGGTATACTATCATGTCGTCTGCAAATAGAGACAATTTGGCTTCCACCTTTCCTATTTGAATACCCTTTATTTATTTTTCTTGCCTGATTGCTCTGGCTAGAACTTCCAGAACTATATTGAATAGGAGTGGTGAAAGAGGGCATCCTTGTCTAGTGTCAGATTTCAAAGGGAATGCTTCCAGTTTTTGCCCATTCAGTATGATATTGGCTGTTGGTTTGTCATAAATAGCTTTTATTACTTTGAGATACGTTCCATCGTATATGGTATTTCTAAATATGCTTCACAACTATCCAAGAAGTATGATTCTCATAGGGACACTGGCCATTCACTGCAGTATTTATTTTCTTTTTCTTTCTTTTTTTTTTTTTTTTTTTGAGACAAGATTACACTCTGTCACCCAAGCTGGAGTGCAGTGGTGTGATCTCAGCTCACTGCAACCTCCGCCTCCTAGGTTCAAGTGATTCTCCTGCCTCAGCCTCCCGGATAGCTGGCATTACAGGCATGCACCACCCTGCCCAGCTAATTTTTGTATTTTTAGTAGAGATGGGGTCTTACCATATTTGCCAGACTAATCTCGAACTCCTGACCTCAAGTGATCTACCCTACACAGCTTCCCAAAGTGCTGAGATTACAGGCATGAGCCACCGCACCTAGCCACACTGCAGCATTTCTAATTTAAAAACTTCTACTCTTGGAATCTGATTGCAAGTCCTAGTCTTCATGAAAAGAGCTACTGTCATCTGTAATTAAATGCTTGATTGTACCTCAGTTATTTCCAATAGGTACACAGATGCCATATAGTGAATCCAACATCTTTTTAACTTGTGCAGAGAAATTGGGAGTTTTTTAACATAGTTATAATCCCCTGCCACAGAAGCTAGAGTTGCTTATAATCAACACCAACACTAGTACATTTAAGTAGGAGAAGACTGATAGGCTTATTATTTTTATTGTATTTGAAGCCTCCCAAAGTCCCGTGGACTTTTTTTTGTCTCTGCAAATTTAAACTAATTGCCCTTTCCACAGGAGCCATTTATGTTAACATCAGTTTTTAAAAAGACCTAACATTTACATAACACCTTATAAATTTTTATAACACTTTGGAATTCTTTTGCATGCATGTTCTTTATGAACTAAGCTCGTGTACAGTGACTTGTGTTGTGTTTATGTTTACTAAGGAGTCATTTCGCTTTTTCCATTTAAGGATTTTATAGTCAAAATGTCAATCAAAAATGTCTTATCAAAAATGTCAATATTTTGTTGTTCATTATGCATTTGTAGCCAGCTTTACTTCTAATAATCTTGTTTCCCTTTTCTTTTCTAATTGTTTTCCCAGGAATCTAACAAGATGGGAATGCAGTCCTTTAGTCTGATGAAGCTCTGTAGAAATAGTGACCGAAAACAAGCAGCTGCCAAATTTTATAGCTTTCTTGTCCTAAAAAAACAACAGGCTATCGAGCTGAGCCAGAGTGCTCCCTATGCAGATATTATAGCTACGATGGGACCAATGTTTTATAAAATGTGAAGGAAATCCAGACATACAGATTTATGTCATCACTGAGTTTCTGTGTAGATTGTTCAATTTATTTATTAATGCAGAAGCCATCTGGAAGCAGCTGAAGGTCTGATCCATTTTATAGATAGGCTGACCTATTTCCTCTCTGTAATTCAGAATAATCATAGCTAGAATTGGAAACCTACATACTTACAAAGAAATATTTTAAATTCTTTTTTTTTTTTTTTTTTTTTTTTTAAGGACAGAGGTCTCACTATATTCCCCAGGCTGGACTTGAACTCTGGGCTCAAGTGATTCTCTTGCCTCAGCCTCCTGAATAGCTGGGACTACAGGCACATGCCATCATACCTGGCTCAGAAATACTTAATTATAGCTAAGAAATTTTTTTAACTTAGCTGATTTGAATATATAGCATTTATCATTTCCCTGATTTGAATATTGCATTTAGGATACATTTAGGATGCATTTAAAAAATACTATATGCTTTTGACAAACATTCAAAGATGTTTCTTAAAAGACCATTTTAAGTTGGTATATTTGCTTGAATTTTGTGGGGTTAATGTTGAAAACGTCCTTATTTCTACACAGATAATTTCTTTGATTGTAATGCATATCATCCTTGATTTGGCCTAATGCCATAGTTTTTAATCTACTATCTTAATTGAAGAGTTACAAAGCTCATCTTTGCTTTAAATTACTTGAATAGCTTTTAGTCTATTTATAGGTTATTTAACCTTTTTATTTACTATTTAATGATTATTATGATCACCATTAATGTGTCAGCAAAACTAAATCTGCTTCTATTTTTTAAAAAATTAGCAGATACTTGTTCAGCATGTTGTTTGCAGCTAGTCTGAGTAAAGATCACCAAAATAAATGTTCTTTTACTTGGTGTTTACTGAGCATTTTTGACATTAAAACTGTTGTTTTTCTTTTTTCTTAATTGAAGTTCGAGTTAGGAAATTTTCATATTATGCTTTGTGAGCTCCATAGTACACTGTGAAATAAAACCTATGGTACTCTTTTAAATGCTGTTGTATCTGGAATTATGCTGCAAACAACAAATTCTAAATAGCCTCTCTAAATTTATTTAACTATACACTTTAAATGTCAAAATTGTCTTTTAAAATTGTCTTTTATTTTTTAAATTAACATACAGAAAAATTGACTTCTTAATTTTGGTGCACAGCTCTATGAATTTTAACGTATGTTTAGACTCCTGTAACCATCTCCACAATCAGAATTCCAGCAGTAGCATCACTCTAAAAAAATTTCCTGTGTTATCCCTTTGTGTAAACACCCTTCCCCTGTATAACATCTGGCAACCACTCTTCTCCATGACTACACTTTTGTCTTTTTGAAAATGTCATACAAATGGAATCATATAGTATGTACCTTTTAATACTGGCCTTTTTCACTCATAAATGTCTTTGAGATTCATCCAAGCGGTTGCATGTGTCAATGGGTTATTCCTTTTTATTGCTGAGTAATATTCTGTTGCCTAGATATAGCAAAGTTTATTTATCCATTTACCCACTGAAATATGTTTAAGTTGTTTCCAGTTTTGACAATAATAGAGCTGCATACATTTACATACATTTTTGTGTGGAGATGTTTTTATTTGTCTATGGTAAATATCTAGGAATGGGATTGCTGGGTCATATGGCAAGTATATGTTTAACTTTATAAGAAATTATGAAATTATTTTCCAGAGTGGATGTACTATTTTACATTCCCACTAACCATGTAAGAGAGTTCCAGTTGATTTTTTGTTTACTTGTTATTTTGAGATAATTGTAGATCCACATGCAGTTGTGAGAAATAATACAAATATCCCATATACCAGTTTACCTCAATGGTAACATCTTGCATAACTTTGGTATAATACACAACTAGGAAATTGGCATTGACACAATCCACCCAGCTTATTCAGATATCACCAGTTTTACATGCACTCATTTTGTGTATGTATTAATTCTATGTAAATTTATCACGTGTAGGTTTGTGTGGCCACCACCATAGTCAAGAAACAGTACAGTTCCATAACAAGGAGCACTTTGCTACCCTTTGCTAGCTACAGCCATCTCCCTCCTTACTGTCCTCCCTAGCTCCTGAAAACCACTAAACTGTTCTCTGTCTCTATAATTTTGTCATTAATACAATTAACTTTTTTATATTAACCTTGTATCCCATGACCTTGCTAAATCCACAAATTAGTTCCAAGTATTTTGTTTTACATAAATGGAATTAAACCATGTTTTGCCTTTTTTTTTTTTTTTTTTTTTTTTTTTCCTGAGACACAGTCTCCCTCTATCAGCCAGGTTGGAATGCAGTGGCACAGTCTTGGCTCACTGCAGCCTTGACCTCCCAGCTTCAAGCAATTTTCCTGCCTCAGCCTCCAGAGTAACTGGGATTACAGGCTCGTGCCACCATACCTAGCTAGTATTTTTGCATTTTGTATTTTTAGTAGAGATGGGGTTTCACCATGTTGGTCATGCTAGACTTGAACTCCTGACCTCAAATGATCTCCCTTCCTCGGCCTCCCAAAGTGTTGGGATTACAGGTGTGAGCCACCACTTCTGGTAAGGTTTTGCCTTTTGTATCTGATTCTTTTCACCTAGCATAAAGGTTTTAAGTTTCATTCATGTTGTAAAATGTATCTGTACTTTATTCCTTTTTATGGCCAAATAATATTCCATTGTGTGGATATACCATATTTTGTTTATCCACTCATTGGTTGATGGACATGTGAATTGTTTCTACTTTTTAACTCCTGTGAATAATGTTGCTATCAACATTAGTACATAAGTTTTGTGTATATATGTTTTTATTTTTCTTGGCTATCTAGGAGTGTAATTGCCAGGTCACATGATAACTTCATTTTCAACTTTTCGAGGAGCTGTCAAACTGTTTTCCAAAGTAGCTGCACTATTGTACATTTCTGCCAGCAATGTATCAGAGTTCTAATGTCTTAATATCCTTGAGAATACTTGTTATTGTCCCTTTAGTTAATTATAGCCATCCTAGTGAGTGTGAAGTGGTAACTCATGGTTTTGATTTGCATTTTCCTAATGACTAATGATGTTGAATATCCTTTCATTTGGATTTGCTAATAGTTTGTTTAGGGTTTTTGCATCTGATATTGGTATGTATTTTTCTTTTACTGTCTTTTTCTGGTTTTAGTATCAGGGTGATACTGGCCTCATAAAGTAACTTAGAAAGTGTTTCCTTCTATTCTACTTTTCTAGGATAGGTTGTGTATATTTGTGTTATTTATTCTTTAAATAGTTGATAGAATTCACCCATAAACAATATGGATATGGAGATTTATATTTTGTAAGGTTTTTTAACTATGAATTCAATTTCTTAAATAGTTGTAGGACTATTTAGTTATATATTTCATTTTGAGTGAGTTTGGGTAGTTCTTTAAGTAATTGGTCTATTTCATCTACATTGGTGAGTTTATGTGTGTAGAGTTGTTCAGAGGTATTCCCTTATTATCCTTTTAGTGTCTGTGGGGTCCATAGTAATAACCCTCTTTTTTTTTTCTTTTTGAGACAAACTCTTGCCCTGTCTCCAGGCTGGAGTGCCATGGCTGTGACCTCAGCTCACTGCAACCTCCACCTGCTAGGTTCAAGTAATCCTCCTGCCTCAGCCTCCTGAGTAGTTGGGACTACATGTACCTGCCATGCCCAGCTAATTTTTGTATTTTTAGTAGAGATGGAGTTTCACCATGTTGGCCAGGATGGTCTTGCTCTCTTGACCTCTTGATCTGCTTGCCTTTGCCTCCCAAAGTCCTGGGATTACAGGCATGAGCCACCACGCCCAGCCATAACCCCTCTTTCATTTCAGACATTGTTAATACATTTTCTCTTTTCTTTTCACTTATGCCAGAGGCTTATTAATTTTCTAGATCTTTTAAAAGAATCACATTTGGGTTTCATTGATTTTCTCTTTTGTTTTTCTGCTTTCTGTTTCACTTCATTTGTCTCTGCTTTTACATTTTTTATTATTTTCCTTTGGTTTGCTTTGAGCTTATTTGCTCTATATTTCTAGTTTTATTAAGGTGGAGGCTTAGTTCATTTATTTGAGATCGTCCCTCTTTTTTAATATAAACACATAAAGCTATATATTTCCCTCTAGGCATTGCTTTAGCTGAATCACACAGATACTTATATGTTGTATCTTCACTTTTGATCAGTTAAAAATATTTCCTAATTTCCCTTAGATTTCCTCTTTGACCTGCAAATTATTTAGAAGTATACAATGGTCAGTTTCTAATGGATATTTCCAGTAATTGATTTCAAGTTTAATTCCATTATGGTGAGACAACATACTTTAAATGATTTTAACCTTTTTTCATTATATTTTAAGTTCTGGAGGCACATGTGCAGAACATGCAGGTTTGTTACATAGGTATACATGTGCCATGGTGGTTTACTGCACACATCAACCCATCATCCACATTCGGTGAATTCTTTTAAATTTGTTAAGATTTATTTTATGACCCTTTACTAAGTTGAAAGTTTTTGTATACATTTTACTCCCTAAAAATTTAACAATACTGTTGACCAGAAGTCTTACCTATAATGTAGTCAGTTAGCATATGCTATATGTTATATGTATTATATACTATATTCTTACAATAAAGTAAGCTAGAGAAAAGAAAATATTATTAGGAAAATCACAAGGAAGAAAATGTATTTTCTATTCGTTAAGTGAAGTGGATCAACATAAAGGTCTTCATCTTCATGGTCTTCACATTGAGCAGGCTGAGGAGGAGAAAGAGGAGGGGTTAGTGTTGTCTCAGAGTCAGAAGAAAATCCACATGAAAGTGGACACACACAGTTCAAAGCTGTGTTGTTCAAGGATCAATTCTGTTCTGCATTTGTTAGACAGAGTGTTCTATAAATGTCAGTTGGACCTAGTTAGTTCATAGTATTGTTTAGTTCTTCTACATCCTTGTTTATTTTGTCTATTAGTTCTATCGATTACTGAGAAACAGTGTTTGTGTCTCTAGCTATAATTGTGGATCTGTTTATTTCTCCTTTTTGTTCTGTCAGTTTTTGCTTTATATATTTTGAAGCTTTTTTATTAGGTGCATATACATTTATAATTTTTATACCTTCTTGGTGAAGTGATGCTTTTATTATTTTGTAATAATTCTCTTTACTCCTGGTAATTTTTTTGCTCTGTAGTCTACTTTTTCTAATATTAATGTAGTTATTCCAGATTTCCTTTTATTAGTATTTGAATGGTATATCTTTTATCATCTTTTACTTTTAGCCTACGTGTATCATTCATTATATTTAAAGTGAATTTCTTATAGACTGCATCAAATAAAGTCATTTTTTATCCATTCTATAACCTCTATTTTAATTGATGTGTTTAGATCACTTGTTTAGATCACTTACGTTTACTTAATTATTGACATTTTTGGATTTAAGATTTTATTTATTTAGGATTTATTTATTTAGGATTTTGGATTTTTTTTTAACTGTTCCCTTTATTTTTTTATGCCTCTGTTTTCCTTTTTCTTGCCTTCTTTTGGAATATTTGGAATTTTTTTGAATTCCATTTTGATTTCTTCTTCTTTTTTTTTCTGAAACAGAGTTTCACTCTGTTGCCCAGACTGGATGCAGAGGTGCAATCTCAACTCATTGCAACCTCTGCCTCCAGGGTTCAAGCAATTCTTGTGCCTCAGCCTCCTGAATAGCTGGGATTACAGGTATATACCACCATGCTCAGCTAATTTTTGTATTTTTAATAGAGACTAGGTTTTGTATTTTTAATAGAGGCCTGTTGGCCAGGCTGGTCTTAAACTCCTGGCCTCAAGTGATCCACCCACCTCTACCTCCCAAAGTGCTGCAATTACAGGCATGAGCCACTGCCCTGGCCTATT